AGCACCCCCTATCTGAGGACTGCCAACATTTCCGAACCCCCCTTTCGCTGGCTTTTCGCGGGCTTTTCCTGCCTTGGAGACCCCCTAAATCATGAAAAATGCTCAATGTACCCCCCTAAATTCGGAATAATTTATCAGGAGCCAAAAGAGATGAGAGAAAAACAAGAAAAACACCCCCTTTCTAAAGAAATCTCCGGGTGAAAAAATAATACACCCCTTTTTTACAATTATCGGGCCGGACTTTGTCGCACGAAAAGTACCCCTTTACCGGACATTTTGGTAACACGCATGGGGTCCGTCCGTTAACGGAGTGGGGGGGGGGGATGGGGTTGAGGGGGAGGGGGTGGGGGTCGAGTTATGTCTTTCATCATTCCCGAATACCCCACGCAGAAAATAAATTGCGGATAATATATGACAGGTATATAGCAAGAAAATGCTTTTAAACGGGATCAAGAATGGGTGAAATTCCTATCATATGGATAACTCCAAAACCACAGGGTATCTACTTAGTAATGAGGCTTTCCAAATTGCCTCCACAAAGTTTTTTTTTTCACAATGTGATCGCATGACCAGATCCGATCTGTATCTTTGAATGAAATTTGTTTGAGGTTGTCTCCAAGCAAGTTGTGTTCACCACCAAAATGTATACCATACTGCATGAAGTCAAAGCTGTTCTTTTCTCCCACAGTGATTTAACGTATTTTTTCTTGCACAGATTTATTGTGATTTTTAGAGTCATTATTGCGCAGTGTTTTCAGCATTTCAGAACGGCTATTATTAATGTGGTTAATGGATGAGACGAACGGAAAGGGGTTAGTTTAGATAACATCAGTGGGGAAAATCCGTTCAGAGAAGGGGAAGGGGTTGGAGGATGGGTAGGGGTGAACACTATCAAACGCGCAAACATACACACGATTCTTTTTGATTGAGACAGATGTAAGATTTGGAAGGGAAAGACACTGTGATCAATTTAGGACGTTCTAAAGCTATTATATATTTAGTATTTTAACAGCTTTTACAAATAAAAGTTTCTAATATTGAAGTTTTCAAACCTTCTTCAATTGATTTTTTTCGCTCCAACATTTTACACTGGTCACCCCCCCCATCCCCGCTAAAAAAAGGGGGGCGGACGTATACCCCTCCACTATCTCCCTGATTTACGTCCGTGGTTCTTAACATGAGTGCACCCCATTTTGTTTCTGTGTTTCGGTATTTTATTCAGTTGAAAAACCAAAACGCGTATTGGTGTGAATTCAATACAGAGGCTGCCGCTCCAATTCAATGAGCAGTGTCGTTTTTCTATTCATGAAACCTCCCGTAATATTATATACCTGTTTATTCATTTTCAGTGAACGTGTGTGTAGTTCTTTGTCTGTAAATGTTTTGTTATTTGGCCTGAATCCATACTGTCTTACAAAGAAAATCACGTATCTCAGTCAGGCAAGTTGCAGTAGAGTGTTTGGGTCGTAAGATCACGATAAAAAGCGAAAATATGCACACGTTCCTTATGGATTGAGATAGATGTGAGATTTTGAAAAAAGGCATTAGTCTTAAAAGTGGACGATCAACCTTTATATATATATATATGTATATATATATATTTTTGTATTTTAACTGCTTGTAAATATAAAAGTTAATTTCATTGAAGTGTCCACATTTTCTTCCACTGATGAATTTATTTTTTCCTCACTGAAAATTGGGATAAATAATTTTACACCTGTTACCCGCCCCCCTCAAAAGAGAGTGGATAGACAAATACCCCTCCCCACCCCCCTGATTTACGCCCGTAGTTCTCAACATAAGTGAACCCCATTTGGGTTCTATGCTTAGGTATTTTATTTGGGGAAAACCCCAAAGTGTATTACTGTGAAGCCAATACACAGGCAAGCGCTCCGAATCAATAGCATTGCCGAATTTCTATTCATGAAACTTCCCGAAAAACTGTTTACCACCCTTTTCGTTTTCAATTGATATGCGTGGGCATATGAATATGAATGATCAACCTATGAGTAGAATATGTTCCATTGACACAATTTTGGATTTCTCATTAGCTTACCACGAACATTAAACAGAACGGGGAACAGCATCGACACTGTCAATGAGACAGGCATGTAGAATCAGCGTGGCCAGTGAAAAAAAATACAATCATGCTAGGGAAGCAGCGAAAATTATGCTAAATCGCCAAAAATTATGGCAAAAACCCCCAGACATCGAATTGTTCAGGAAATATTTTGCGCCGCTAAGCCATCTGCTGAATTGAAGCGGGGGGGGGGGGGGGGGGGGGGGGGGGGTAAGAAGCAATTTGTTTGAAAGATTTACCATCATAGGTACATAGGTACATCATGTAGGTACATGTTTATGTGTGAGGTAGAGTGATGCCCTTCCATATTCCCAAATACTTCACATGGGAAGAAAACTGCAGATAATTTATTATAAGTATAATTATGGCGAGAAGAATGCTTTTGCCTTTGATAATTCCTAAATCTCTGGGTATGTTAGTAATCAGGCTCTCCAAATCAGGCTCTCCTAATCGCATGACCAGAACTGATCTATATCTTTGACTTTCTAATTTTACAATGAGGTTTTCTCCAAGCCCAATGTAATCACTACCGCTGATACTCCATGAATTCAAATACATGTTATCCTACTTTTTTTCCTTATTTTGTTTCCGTTTGTCACACATTTAACGTTGTGTGATCTTGCACCGATTTATTGTGATTTTTGAGAGTTTGTACTGCGCGGTGTTTTCAGCAATTCAGAAAGGAGGTAAAGATCAGTAGATATGATAAACGTGATTAATGGAAGAGACGAACAGACAGGGGGAAGTTTAGATAACATCAGTGGTAAAAATCCGTTCTGGGAAGGGGAGGGGGGTGATCACAACCAAGTAAATCCTTTACTCGGTCAGGCAAGTTGCAGTAGAGTGTTTGGGTCAGAAGATCACAATTAAACGCGCAAATATACTCACAATTCTTTTGGATTGAGAGTGATATTTGGAAGGAAAACCTACATTATGTATATATATATATATTTAGTATTTTAACAGCTTTTACAGACAAAGGTTACTTATATTGAAGTGTTCAACTTTTCTTTAACTGATAGATTTATTTTTTCCATTGAAAATTGGAATATATAATTTCACGCCGGTCACCCCCTCCCTTCTCAAAGAGGGGGGGGGGGGGGGGGACATATATCCCTCCCATCTCCCTGATTTACGCCCGTGATCCTCCCCATAAGAGCACCCCATTTGGGTTCTCTGCTCATTTGTTTGGGGTAAACCACAAAGTGTATTTAAACTGTGAAGCCAATAAATGCTCCGAATCAATTAGCATTCCCAAATTTCTATTTATGAAACTTCCCGAAATACTGTGTACCAGCCTTTTCATTTTCAATTGATATGCATGGGCATTTAAATATGATTGATCAACCTACCTATGAGTAGAATGTGTTCCATTGACAAGCACAATTTTGCATTTATAATTTTAATCACTACCAATAAACAGAACGGGGTACAGCATCGACACTGTCAATGAGACAGCCGCATGTAGAATCGGCGTGGCCAGTGAATTTTTTTTTTTTTTTTTACCATGATACCTACATGTACTTGACTGCATGGGTGTCGATCTGTAATTGATACCTATTCATCAGGGGGGGGGGGTGATCTATTCATTCATCCCCCTGATGAATAGGTATTACGTAAGGATCGACACCCATGTACTTGAGAGATAAATGAAAAATGTATTGTTTAAAAGCCCAAATTATGCCCGAATTTTGCTTAAAACAGCAAAATTATACCAGGCATAATGCAAGGTGCTAAAAGGGTCAACGTTATGCCAGAAAGCACAATTATACTATAGATCTGGCAACGTTGTGTTGAATCGGGCTGTTGCATTACTGTTGTTTGTGTGTGAGGTAAAGTGATGCCCTTCCATATTCCTTAAAACTTCACACGGGAAGAAAACTGCAGATAATTTATTATAAGTATAATTATGGCGAGAAGAATTCTTTTGCCTTTGATAATTCCTAAATCTCAGGGTATCTACCTAGCAATCAGGCTATCCAAATTGCCTTTACGTAGTTTCTCTCACAAGGTAATCGCATGACCAGAACTGATCTATATCTTTGACTTTCTAATTTTACAATGAAGTTTTCTCCAAGCCCAATGTAATCACTACCGCTGATACTCCATGAATTCAAATACATGTTATCCTACTTTTTTTCCTTATTTTGTTTCCGTTTGTCACACATTTAACGTTGTGTGATCTTGCACCGATTTATTGTGATTTTTGAGGGTTTGTACTGCGCGGTGTTTTCAGGAATTCAGAAAGGAGGTAAAGATCAGTAGATATGATAAACGTGATTAATGGAAGAGACGAACAAACAGGGGTAAGTTTAGATAACATCAGTGGGGAAAATCCGTTCTGGGAAGGGGAGGGGGGGGTGATCACAATTAAACGCACAAATATACACACAATTCTTTTGGATTGAGAGTGATATTTGGAAAGAAAACCTATATTATGTATATATATTTAGTATTTTAACAGCTTTTACAGACAAAGGTTACTTATATTGAAGTGTTCAACTTTTCTTTAACTGATAGATTTATTTTTTCCATTGAAAATTGGAATATATAATTTCACGCCGGTCACCCCCCTCCCCTCTCATAAAGGGGGGGGGGGTGGACATATACCCCTCCCATCCCCCAGATTTACGCCCGTGGTCCTCACCATAAGTGAACCCGTGTGGGTACTATGCTCATTTGTTTGGGGAAAACCACAAAGTGTATAACTGTGAAGCCAATAAATGCTCCGAATCAATGAACATTGCCGAATTTCTATTCATGAAACTTCCCGAAATAGTTCCGTACCAGCCTTTTCGTTTTCAATTGATATGCGTGAATGGATATATAAATATGAATCATCACCCTATAAGTATAATGTGTTCCATTGCCAAGCACAGTTTTGCATTCATGAATTGCTTCGCAAGAGCAATAAACAGAACAAGGAACAGTATGCACACTGCCATAATAAGACAGGCAAGTGGAATCAGGCTGTAGCGAGTTATTACTGTTGCTTGTGAATTGGATTTTTAGTTGACAGTCAGGGATATCGGATATTACTTGAAATAGTCAAAATTGAATATCGGGATATATTTACTAAATGTGCTGCAACACTTGAGCAACAAGGAATATTAAAGAGGTGAGTACATACCAAGCAGTAGTAGGAAGTATATACATGTACACTGTACAATGATCAGCCGCTGAAACAATGTTTTAATAGTCGATGTACTTTAAGCAATATCGGGTAAGGGAGGGGTGATGAAAATGGGGATGGGTGTAGAGTTATGTCCCTCCTCACCCCCAATACTCCACACGGAAAAGGTATATATGAAGAAAAATGCTTTGAAAAGAAATTGGGAATGAGTGAAATTCCTATTTTGTTGATAATTCCGAAACCACAGGGTATCTTCTTAGTAATCAAGCTTTCCCAATTGCCTCCACAAAGTTTCTTTCACGATGTAATCGCATGACCCGAACTGATCTGTATCTTTGAATGTAACACTTTTGCGGTTTTCTCCTAACAAATTGTGATCGACAACAGAATTGATAACATACTGCATGAAGTCAGATTATGTCTTCTTGTTCTTTTTCTGTTCTCCGTTTCTCGCACATGTAACCTATTCTGCTCTTGCACAGGCAGGTTTATTGTGATTTTAAGAATCTGTATTACGCGGTGTTTTTTAGCAATTGACAAGGAAGTATAGATCAGCGGATATTAGGGACTTTTAGATTTGCGTGGACTGATACGTGTGACGTCCATTCAAGGCAGTGCATTAAAAGGACGTCGTTCGTAGCAATCCACGTTGTCGTTGTGCAAATCTAAAGGTCCCTATTATTAACGTGATTAATGGAAGAGATAGACGGACAGGAGGGACTTTAGATTTTATCAGTGGATGAAAATCTTTTCGAGATGTAAACGGGGGGGGGGGGGGGACGAAAGGGGTGATTTATTTATTTATTTATTTATTTATTCAGTCTTCTTTTGAATACAGGGTTGTCCCTTCAGAGCCGCAATGCCTGCTTTTTAAGGGTACCCTGTAGGCAATCGACAAAGTACATGGTAAAAATTACAACAACACCAAATAAAAACATACACACAATACATAATACACAGTTATTTACTACTAAATAAATAAGGTAGGTTTAATAACGCAGAACACCTTTTTAGTCTGAAAAGACGACCTATATAAAGTTCAAGCTTGGTTGAAATGAGCCAAATAAGCAAGCGCATTAATTGTATTTATCAATTAAACAAAACAAGTTCACATAGATTGATATACTTGCACTGATACAATAAAATAAAAACAATATTTAAACCACACTCAAAGATTGAAACAGATTCAAGTGAGACAGAAGGGTTTTAAAGTAAAGTGTGGCTAAAAAGCGTGGCTTAAAGTTAGTTGCACAATAGAAAGACAGCATAAGCACACAATGGACAGTTTAACAAGACTAGAGGATAATGATACGATCAAACAAGTAAAAGAACAAACACAACGAGTCAGCCCTCGTTGAAAGTAGCGAAATCAATTATTCATATATATTTTTATTTTCAAGAAGAAGAGACTGATAGAGTCGGTTTTGATTTTTAAAAACTTGCAAAGATGATGATAATTGAATGAAAAGTTGTAATTCATTAAACTGTGAACATGCAAAGTAAAAATGTATGGCTCAAGGCATAGGCACACAGAAGATTTTTTCTGTTGGGAACCGGGGGAAATTCAATGAATTATTGACAATTGATTGCATTTTCTTTGGGTTTTTTTATTTGTGGGGACTGCCCCCTACCCTAGCTCCCGCTGCGTACAGTCATGGTTCAGTGGCAAAACAATGGCCTCGTAACTGTGAGGCATCAGGATCAAAACCGTGTCGATGTGCCATATTAGTACCTTTTTGTTGGGCATTGATCCTCATTACTGTCATTTATGACTTAAGGGGGTAGGTCCCCTAGTTGATGAGCATAGTAGCATACACATTCTTTAGCAGTCACGCAAAACAAACACTGGCAAATTATTATTCAATAAAATCTGAGAATGTATATCATTATATAGATCTATTCGGAATAATTAGAAATAAATCACTGTCAAAATAATTTCCTAAATTGGGGTTAAAACAAATATTCTAACTATATGAGCGACAGCGTAGTTTTAGTTTTACCAGAATTTATCTTCATTTTTGTTTATGTTAAACTATTTTATCAAAACATCCAGCTTATTTTTCAATGTTTGGTAAAGATGAGCAAATTTATCCCCTTTTGCAAAGATTGCAGTATCGTCAGCGTACAAAGATACTTTTGACAAGTGTTGTAAATTAAGAAACAAATATCATTGATAAAGGTGCTAATTAATAATGGTCCCAGTATCAACCCCTGGGCACTCTTTCATGATTAGGAAGAAAACTAGAATAGAGCAAACAGTCGTTCAAATGTTAATGGACATGGGCATCTGTAAGTCATTCTTGTTCAACAATGTAAACAAAGAATGAAAAATAATGAGGAGGATTGAGCTCTGGGGGGTGTTTCACAAAGATCCTAAGTAGAACTTAACACTAAGTGGGACATAAAAATTATGGACAGCCATTGGAGCCTTAAAATGAAATATATTCAAAAGCAGAAATTCAAGTATTTTAGACTTTTTATAAATTCCACATCCAGAACATGAAATCTCCTTGATGATAGAAAATATGAATGATTTGAATCAACATTTTATGCCTTTTAAAATAACTTTTACAAAATATTTTCAAAGATGCTAATGGCTTTCCATAATTTTTAAGTCCAACTTAGAGATAAGTTCAACTTAGGATCTTTGTGAAACACCCCCTGGATGTTTTTTGTAGTCCCAGGACTGCATGGTTTTGACAAGCACGACAAAGGTGCCTCTCCTTCGTGTTTCTCATGATTATTATTTTGTTCATTTTCTTAGATTGATCAAGATAAAAAATGCTTATCAACATTTAAATGGACAGATGCCCCATTTGTGCAATTTTCTTCCTGAGACTCATTATTGTCAAATGACTTTGTTCAGTCATTTATGTTTATTTTGATATGTGAAAGATATTTTTATATTGAATATTTATTTTGAAAAGTAACAGGGTGTCAATTTTGTGTGGATTTATTAACATTAGTTCCCTTCACAACAGTACAATATGAAACACAATGTATATATAAATTATATATGTAACAATGATTTCAACATAGAGTATACAATAAATAATTCAAATACGGAAGGAGGCGAAAACCCGAAAAGCATAACATTTGGGATAACAGTTGGGTACAGCATAACAGTTGGGAACGCCCATAATAAGTTTACACAGTTACTGATAGAAAATTATAGATGCTATTATGAAAATTACATAATGTATGAACAGAACGATGATAGAAAAGAAAAAAATAGTAAATGGAAGCAAAAAATGAGAAGAGAATCAAGTATAGGAAGGCATGTTCACTTATAAAGAGAAAGTTAACTCAATTGGCCTGTGCATGTAAATAATAATAATTGATGAATACCAACTTTACTATTTAACATAATCGAGTCTTTCCAAATACCATTTGTAATCACGTGCTTTACTTTAGAAATTCCAGCTACGTACAACTTTGAAAACAATAATCTAGAACTTTTTAATCTAACATGGCTGTTTTTCCATAATATCTCCTCTTATATTTCTTTTACATTAACTAAACCTCAATATTTAAATTCTGACCATGCAACAAGAAGATTTTGATAAAACTCTGACAGTCATTTTTGTATACACATCATTTTCATATCTTTCTTATTAAAATTATATCGTAAATAATCTGGAAAAATCCATTCCTGTCAATCCAATATCTGAATAATGATTTCCATCTACAAGTTTGTTCATCCAATAATTTGCTTATCCAAGATAAATACAAAGAATTTGTTTTCGATTCAATGTCTACCATATCAAGACTACCATCTAACTGTTTATTTATAAAGACATTTCTTTTCACTATTTCTCTTTTTGTACTCCAAAGAAAAGCATATATACTTTTATGCAATGATTTAATAACAAAAATAGGAGCAGGTACTACAGTTACAGTAACTACAATCGAATATTCCTTATAATCGTGATTATATTTCCTTTTTATTATCCAACACAAGTCTAAGAATATCTTCGAAATATTGCGTGTTAACCTCTTCCAAATCAATTGCTGTTTTAAGTCAACTGTTCGAACACACCGTCTGGGTATATAATGAACTAATTCGTATTGCTATTGTTATAACTATTATCATTATTATCATTATCATTAGTATTGTTATCATTATAATTATTATTATTGAAATTTAAATCACCAATGCTGTCAGTAGTTGTGATTGGAAAACATTTGATTGACGATTCAATCATTTATACTCAATTTATTTTCTCTATATACCTTGTTCTATTTCTCCACAGCTAAAGATGAAGCATTTATGGATCTATGTCGTTTTTACCATGGTCTTGACTTTTCACAGAAGTAAGTTGATATCTATCATCACTTTTCACCAGATCAATCATGTGGGGGGGGGGGGGGACTATGTGGAGCTCCATGAGTTAAACTACTGTAATTCGCATGTCACAACTATCTCTTTCAGATCGTTATTGTTGTGACGCACGCACTCATTCGCGAACAAAGGACTATACATGGAGCTCCAAATAGTTCCCTCCCCCATAAAGGCCCGGATTCACAAAGGATGTTTGTCGACCAACCTAGGTTTATGTCCGTCATAATTATGACGCGTTTCGACGCATTTCAAACCTAGCTTTGTACGAATTCAGGCCACAATCTTTGCGGAAGTAAACTATTTCAAGGCTCCATAGATTTAATGCATGAACGAGGGCAACTTCTACTGATATATCTCTACAAGCTATGGGTTGGATATGTATGATGGGGTGTCCAAAGTTCGCGAACATTTAAAATATATTTAGGTTCGATCCACGATTTCTCATTTCCTACTAAAATGAATTAAAAATGATTTACTACCAAATAAAGTTCAGAATTCAAAACTACATCAAGTGTAAAATAATTCCGACAATATCGCTCCCTCAAATTCCGACGTGAGATCGGCGTGCGTTACAACTGATGAACAAGTCATAACTCAGCGAGTGCTTTATAATTCGGGCACGAAAGTTTACAGCTGAATTTTATCTAAAAGAGAGAGAGCTACCATAGGTGAGATAATTGAATTAAGATGAAGGCAAAATACCAAATAGTCAGTTGGTATCGCTTTCTACGCACAATTTTGATGACATCTTCTTTGAAAATAAAGATTTGCAAACCCTTGTCGGTAACTTCACATTTTTTTTCGGCACAGACACCAAACACTGCAAAAGCTGCCGATCTTTTGTTAATGTTTTTATAATTTCTCACTACATTTTCCTAGAAAAAGCTCGTCACTAGGTAATTGCAGGTTCTTCTTTTCATTAGTTGCATCTGTTTGTTGTTTAGATAATGGAACTGTGCGTGAACTTACGACACGCGCGAATCATGGTCACACTGCCAGACGATGAGTTACTTAGTATATTTTGACCGGTCATCACTAAAGTGCTGGGGAGGGTAATATTTAGAAGGGGAAAGGACAGTTGTCCCTATCTATAAAAGGGGTTCTTTTTTCTTATTGTTTTATTTGTGGTCGGTGAGCCACTATTGTTGTCAGCTTCATCCCAGAGCTATTATTCTTACACACACTTTTGGCCAATTTGGTTTCGGTTGGTCACAACATTTATATTGCATATATTCTATTGTGTTGTGTTTGCCAATATTATTCGCCACATTGTGCCACTTCAAACGGTGTTTGAATGGCAGTAGGGCGCTTTAGTAACGAGACGGAAAGCAAAGAGGACGGGATAATTCACTCAACCGAGATCAAATATTGTATGCAGTTCGGAATCTGTGTATTGAAATACTATTACGCTTATCAGGTGAATGAAATAATTTGTATTGAGGCACTTCACAAAGACTTATGCATTAAATTTGGTTGCATTACGAATTTGGTTATTATTCAGGACACTTCCTCATCCCATTTTATCCTTATTTATTTTCCTTTAACCATTAGTTCGTTTATTTTCTGGGTTCTTCTGTTCTTAGTTTTTCTATATGTTATCTCTCTTTATCATTTGAATACATTCGAATATATTTTGTAAAATCATGGAAAGTGGGGTTCGCTGTGCAGGCCTGTAAATCAAACCGTATTTCTGTTTAGCCACACGTAATTTTAGATTCTTCATTCAATTCATTTGATGCTGTCTAACTGTAACTTTGCTGAGTTTGTGTCTTGCATGATTGATATTGGGGGGGGGGGGGTGATTCTGCATTTATTTGTCAGTAACATTATATTTAATGTTCTTTTTTTATTTTATCAATTCCAATTTAGCGACTGCCACAGACGTTTGTTTCAGTACCAGCCAAACATATAATTGTAACTGCACATCGCCTCCCGTGAAACTACCAGGGAGACCTACATTTTGTGAGTGTGATATGTAATTGACGGAGATTTTTGCAAACATTAAAAATGATGTCTCTCCGGAAATCGAATAATAATAATTACAGTGCTTATATAGCGCCTAACACTTACTTTGTCAGAAGTCTCTAAGCGCTCTACAATAATGCAGCATAATTACCCTGGCTTTAGCAGTGCAGCTGTTACGCGCGCTGCGTTTCAAGGAATAAATTCCTACCAGGTACCCATTTACTTCACCTGGGTGGAGTGTGGCAAATGTAGATCAATGTCTTGCCAAAGGACATTAGTGCAGCGGCGGGACTCGAACCGCGGACCTTGTGATCGACAGTCGAAACCGGGTCCTGGTTCAGGAAGTCAGTGCTTTACAAGGCCTGCTACTAGGGGTTTTGGAGACTACCTAATCAAACCGATGTTATTTCCATTCTTCTAGAAACAATTACACCTATATCAATACAATATTTTCCCCTGACATATAATGTTACCCACATACTAAAACTTGAGCTTAATATGGACCCCAATACAATTACATGCTGGTAAAAAGAAGACACTGTAAATCTAACGTTATAATAACATTTTTAACCAGCATTCATCTTGAACTCCAAAAATTACACCTGAAGTTTACCAGATTTTTCTCCTTTACTGCAAATGACTAAGCAAGCGGACAACTTTCTTTCTTAGTAATGATTATAATAATAGTGAACATTCCTGGCGCAAATGTGGGAAATGTGGTATAATTGTAAGCGCACAGCTGTAAATATAACTCAAGAAAAAGCACATTATCATAATTGATGGATTAAACATAATTGTGAACATAACAGCAAGATTGTTTTTTTGCTTAGACGGTAGTTTGCATAAGTAATTTAAATTTAGCTTCTGTGACAAGTCAATATGGATGCCAAGAAGTATTTTGAATTCAATGTGATTACGTTTGTTTATTCTATTACATTATGTTTTCTTGTTGAGATTTCAAAGAAAGGCTGAACAGTGAGTTCTTTAAAACAAAATTTGTTGGCGTTCATCCAAATTTGTATAATTTTAAAATCATTATTATGTGAAGAAGACCTTTTGGTTGCGATGGGAATAGAATGATATTTGAATGATCCGCAAGATGAATAATTGACTTGAATAGAGAAGAACACTGGAAGTCATAAAAAAAACATAAATAGCCAAATTACTAACAAAGGAGCCATAAGAGATCCTAAGGGACACTGTATGATATTGATCTTTGATAACAAATCTTTGCAATTAACAATATTTACATATTGACGAAACATTGTTTTTCCTTCTGTAAGATAATTTATGAACCACTCTATTAAAGCCTTTCCATGAATTAAATAATTAGATAATTTATGTAGAAAACAAGGTCATGGTAATTATTATAAATGGCATTGGCTATTTTGTGCAGGGACATGAACAAAGCAACAGTTGTGGAGTGGTTCCTGTGTTGTGTTTTCGACAAGATATTGTTAAATGAGCATGACACTGTACTGTACGAGAATTGTCTTATTTGTCAAGTCTTTTAAAACAACATGAGCGTTGATTACCATTATTCCGTGTTATTCCTTTCTTAAAAAGTGAAATAACAATATTAATGTTTATATTTGGGGTATAATACTATTTATTGTATAATAATATTATTTATTTATATAATACTATTTAGTGTTACTTTCTGCTATAATATTCTCCAAACTGACAATTTACGAATGAAAATAACTCAACATTATTTTTCATCTTAACTAGAACTCGAGTGTATTTTAATATTGCATTAGATATCTAAATAGTATTCTTGAAAATAATTACTTTGATCCATGCAGGGCCTGCTGGAGTTGTCAACCTCACAGAAGGGTGTGCATCCACGACATCCGTGAGCGCGAATTGGACTATACCAAAGAGAGCGGTCGACCGTTTCAGCATCTCATGTAGCGATGGTGATGCATCCCCAGCGACCATTGAAGACACCAGCCAGTCATCTTACGTTGCGTCTTGCGTTAATCTGACGGTACCAGGCGATACGTACAATATGACTGTGTACAGTATTGTGGATAGTTGCGCTACTAGTACTTCATCTTCCATCGACCTGGTTGCATGTTAGTATCACCAAAAATCCATAATAATAATAATACTTTTGATAGTAATAATAAAAATAAAATACTTCTACTACTGCTATTTAGTAATCGACACAATATAGAAGATATTTAAAAAAAAATTATGAGGGCGCCCCCTCCCCAAATGTAGGTTAATGAGCGGATATTTAAGCTGCACGTTGCCCCTTTTTTTCCTGTTTCTAAGTTTTGCGAGCTTTGAAATATAAGAGTTCTATAATATATTTAGTGTTTCACAAAATCGAAGTTACTCCAAAATAGTATTTTGATGTAACTAAATTCTCTCGCGGCATCTCAGGGCGGCACCCATGTTAAAAACGCTGGTATAAACTATGCATAATGTTCACGAACTTCAATATTACTAACAAAGGAGCCATTAGAGATCCTAAGGGACACTGTATGATATTGATCTTTGATAACAAATCTTTGCAATTAACAATATTTACATATTGACGAAACATTTTTTTCCTTCTGTAAGATAATTTATGAACCACTCTATTAAAGCCTTTTCATGAATTAAATAATTAGATAATTTATGTAGAAAACAAGGTCATGGTAATTATTATAAATGGCATTGGCTATTTTGTGCAGGGACATGAACAAAGCAACAGTTGTGGAGTGGTTCCTGTGTTGTGTTTTCGACAAGATATTGTTAAATGAGCATGACACTGTACTGTATGAGAATTGTCTTATTTGTCAAGTCTTTTAAAACAACATGAGCGTTGATTACCATTATTCCGTGTTATTCCTTTCTTAAAAATTGAAATAACAATATTAATGTCTATATTTGGGGTATAATACTATTTATTGTATAATAATATTATTTATTTATATAATACTTATTTAGTGTTACTTTCCGCATTCCATGAATGAAGAATCATAACAGATAGGGTATCATTTTGAAGACGAGTAAACACACATGATAACCCACATTCAGTGCTCATAAATATAGGTATGTAATTGGGGCAACAGAACAATGTTTGGTCTAAACTTTCAGCTATTTCCTGTCATATTTTGACTTGGACCATATTGAAATCGCAATCTTTTTAGGGGACTTTCTGCTATAATATTCTCCAAACTGACAATTTACGAATGAAAAAAAGTCAACATTATTTTTCATCTTAACTAGAACTCGAGTGTATTTTAATATTGATTTAGATATCTAAATAGTATTCTTGAAAATAATTACTTTGATCCATGCAGGGCCTGCTGGAGTTGTCAACCTCACAGAAGGGTGTGCATCCACGACATCCGTGAGCGCGAATTGGACTATACCAAAGAGAGCGGTCGACCGTTTCAGCATCTCATGTAGCGATGGTGATGCATCCCCAGCGACCATTGAAGACACCAGCCAGTCATCTTACGTTGCGTCTTGCGTTAATCTGACGGTACCAGGCGATACGTACAATATGACTGTGTACAGTATTGTGGATAGTTGCGCTACTAGTACTTCATCTTCCATCGACCTGGTTGCATGTTAGTATCACCATAAATCCATAATAATAATAATACTTTTAATAGTAATAATAAAAATAAAATACTTCTACTACTGCTATTTAGTAATCGACACAATACAGAAGATATTTAAAAAAAAATTATGAGGGCGCCCCCTCCCCAAATGTAGGTTAATGAGCGGATATTTAAGCTGCACGTTGCCCCTTTTTTTTCCTGTTTCTAAGTTTTGCGAGCTTTGAAATATAAGAGTTCTATAATATATTTAGTGTTTCACAAAATCGAAGTTACTCCAAAATAATATTCTAATGTAATTAAATTCTCTCGCGGCATCTCAGGGCGGCACCCATGTTAAAAACGCTGGTATAAACTATGCATAATGTTCACGAACTTCAATATTACTAACAAAGGAGCCATAAGAGATCTTAAGGGACACTGTATGATATTGATCTTTGATAACAAATCTTTGCAATTAACAATATTTACATATTGACGAAACATTTTTTTCCTTCTGTAAGACAATTTATGAACCACTCTATTAAAGCCTTTCCATGAATTAAATAATTAGATAATTTATGTAGAAAACAAGGTCATGGTAATTATTATAAATGGCATGGGCTATTTTGTGCAGGGACATGAACAAAGCAACAGTTGTGGAGTGGTTCCTGTGTTGTGTTTTCGACAAGATATTGTTAAATGAGCATGACACTGTACTGTATGAGAATTGTCTTATTTGTCAAGTCTTTTAAAACAACATGAGCGTTGATTACCATTATTCCGTGTTATTCCTTTCTTAAAAATTGAAATAACAATATTAATGTCTATATTTGGGGTATAATACTATTTATTGTATAATAATATTATTTATTTATATAATACTATTTAGTGTTACTTTCCGCATTCCATGAATGAAGAATCAAAACAGATGGGGTATCATTTTGATGACGAGTAAACACACATGATAACCCACATTCAGTGCTCATAAATATAGGTATGTAATTGGGGCAACAGAACAATGTTTGGTCTTAACTTTCAGCTATTTCCTGTCATATTTTGACCTGGACCATATTGAAATCGCAATCTTTTTAGGGGACTTTCTGCTATAATATTCTCCAAACTGACAATTTACGAATGAAAAAAAGTCAACATTATTTTTCATCTTAACTAGAACTCGAGTGTATTTTAATATTGATTTAGATATCTAAATAGTATTCTTGAAAATAATTACTTTGATCCATGCAGGGCCTGCTGGAGTTGTCAACCTCACAGAAGGGTGTGCATCCACGACATCCGTGAGCGCGAATTGGACTATACCAAAGAGAGCGGTCGACCGTTTCAGCATCTCATGTAGCGATGGTGATGCATCCCCAGCGACCATTGAAGACACCAGCCAGTCATCTTACGTTGCGTCTTGCGTTAATCTGACGGTACCAGGCGATACGTACAATATGACTGTGTACAGTATTGTGGATAGTTGCGCTACTAGTACTTCATCTTCCATCGACCTGGTTGCATGTTAGTATCACCAAAAATCCATAATAATAATAATACTTTTAATAGTAATAATAAAAATAAAATACTTCTACTACTGCTATTTAGTAATCGACACAATATAGAAGATATTTTTTAAAATAATATGAGGGCGCCCCCTCCCCAAATGTAGGTTAATGAGAGGATATTTAAGCTGCACGTTGCCCCTTTTTTTTTCCTGTTTCTAAGTTTTGCGAGCTTTGAAATATAAGAGTTCTATAATATATGTTGTGTTTCACAAAATCGAAGTTACTCCAAAATAATATTTTGATGTAACTTAATTCTCTCGCGGCATCTCAGTGGCTGCCTGGTCACGATCAATTGGGCAAAAAAGAATTTCCATTTTGGATTTAACTTAATAAAATTTGCAGTGGGCTTTAAAAGGTCATTATTATTATTATTAATATTTTAATAATGATAATAATAATAGTGAACATTCCTGGCGCAAATGTGGGGAATTTGGTATAATTGTAGGCGCACAGCTGTAAATATAATTCGAGAAAAGCAAAGCTTATTATCATAACTGATAGATTAAACATAACAGCAAGGATTCTTTTTTTTCATAGACGGTAGTTTGCATAAATAATTCATATGTAAATTCTATGACAAGTCATTGTGGATGCAATAATTATTTTGGATTCAATGTGATTACGTTTGTTTATTTTATTTAATTTACTACATTATTTTTTTTTGCTGATATTTCAAAGAATCGCTGAAAAGCATGTAGTGAGTTTTTTAAACACAATTTGTTGAGGTTCATCCAAATTTGTATAATTTTAAGCTCATTATTAGCCTATGTGAGGAAGATATTTTGGTTGCAACATAAATATCATAATATTTGAATGATCAGCAAAATGAATAAATGACTTGAATATGGAAGAACACTGGAAGTCATGAGAAACATATGAATAGCCAAATTACTATTAAACAAAGGAGCCAGAAGAGATCCTGAGGGACACTGTATGATATTGATCTTTGCTAAAAAATCTTTGCATTTAACAATATTTACATATTGACGAAACATTGTTTTTCCTTCTGTAAGATAATTTATGAACCACTCTATTAAAGCCTTTCCACGAATTAAATAATAAGATAATTTATGTAGAAAAAAGGTCATGGTAATTATTACAAATGGCATGGGCTATTTTGTCCGGGGACATGAACTTAGCAACAGTTTTGGAGTGGTTCCTGTGTTGTATTTTCGACAAGATATTGTTAAATTAGCATGACACTGTACTGTACGAGAATTGTCTTATTTGTCAAGTCTTTTAAAACAACATGAGCGATGATTACCATTATTCCGTGTTATTTCTTTCTTAAAAAGTGAAATAACAATATTAATGTTTATATTGATATTTGGGGTATAATACTATTTATTGTATAATAACATTATTTATTTATATAATACTATTTAGTGTTTCTTTCCACATTCCATGAATGAAGAATCATAACAGATAGGGTATCATTTTGAAGACGAGTAAACACACATGATAACCCACATTCAGTGCTCATAAATATAGGTATGTGATTGGGCCAACAGAACAATGTTTGGTCTAAAATTTCAGCTATTTCCTGTCATTTTTTGACTTGGACCATATTGAAAGAGCAATCTTTTTAGGGGACTTTTCTGCTATAATATTCTCCAAACCGACATTTTACAAATGAATTTAACTCAACATTACTTTTATCTTAACTAGAACCCGAGTGTATTTTAATATTGCATTAGATTTTTAAATAGTATTCTTAAATATGATTTCTTTAATCCATGCAGGGCCTGCTGAAGTTGTCAACCTCACAGAAGGGTCTTCATCCACGACATCCGTGAGCGCGAATTGGACTGGACCAAAGATCGCGGTCGACAGTTTCAACATCTCATGTAGCAACGGTGATGCATCCCCAGCGACCATTAAAGACACCAACCAGTCATCTTACATGGCGTCTTGCGTTAATCTGCCAGTACCAGGCGATACGTACAATATGACTGTGTACAGTATTGTGGGTAGTTGCGCTACTAGTACTTCATCTTCCATCGACCTGGTTGCATGTTAGTAACACCAACAAACGATAATAATTATACTTTTCATAGTAATAATAATAATAATACTTCTACTACTGCTATTTAGTAATCGACACAATAGAGAAAATATAAAATAATGTATGAGGGCGCCCACTCCCCCAAATGTAAATTAATAAGAGGATATTTAAGGTGCACGTTGCCTCTTATTTTCCTGTTTTTAAATTTCGCGAGCTAATGACGCGAACGATCCTGCATTATTAATGTTATTTTCAAATATAAGAGGTATATAATATATTTGGTGTTTCACAAAATAGAAGTAACTCCAAAATAATATTTTGATGTAACTAAATTCTCTCGCGGCATCTCAGGGCGGCACCCATATTAAAAAGCGCTGGTATAAACTATGGATAATGTTCACGAACTTCAATATTTGTTGTTTCTATATCAAACCAGTACCAAGTGCTGTGAACATATCGGAAGGGTGTTCCAATAATACCGTCATCTCAGCTACTTGGACAATACCTAACAGTGTGGTAGACACCTTTGATATCATGTGCTCCGCTGGTACTGCCTCCCCGGCATCTATTCCGCTTGAATCTAGTCCAACGAGTGATACCTTTACAGCTTCCTGTACTGAGTTACCAACACCTGGACTGGAATACAACCTCTCAGTGGTCGCTATTAGCAACAACAAACAGAGCGCCATCCAAACTGTGGGAGTGCATGCATGTAAGTTCCGCAGACATCGATTGGAGTTGTCAGCATTTTATTGCAGACGTAATCTAGTGTAGTGGATAACTACTATCCTTTGCTACTATGTCTCCTTTGTTGTGCAAGTTTTATATCAACCACATACAATCTTTTGTTGGCAACTCAAGCTTGATCGATTACATCTCTTTTGTCGTGGCAACATTATGGCTTTGTTAAGTATCTGTAGGCAGTATGTGTATTCTTCTTTAATAAAATATATATTTCTCGATTGACAAGAAGCAAAGTTGATTCAAAAGATAGAATGTAACAAATATTTGTTGGTATAATTTATAAGAACATGCCAAAGGTTTTTCATTGACACAATATTTCAGTGCAAATGAAAATAGGTATATTATTGGGCTAAAAGATATATGTTTGGTCAATAATTTCAACTATTTCCTGTCATATTTTTGAGTTGGACGTTGTTGAAGGGCATTCCTCTTTAGGGGACATTTCTGCTATAATATTCGATAAACTTACGTTTTACAAATGAAATACCTCAACATTATTTTTCATCTTAACTAGAATTCGAGTGTATTTTAATATTGCATAAGATTTTTAAATAGTATTCTTGAACATAATTTCTTTGATCCATGCAGGGCCTACTGGAGTTGTCAACCTCACAGAAGGGTCTGCATCCACGACATCCGTGAGCGCGAATTGGACTGGATCAAAGAGAGCGGTCGACAGATTCAGCATCTCATGTAGCCATGGTGATGCATCCCCAGTGACCATTGAAGACACCAGCCAGTCATCTTACATGGCGTCTTGCATTAATCTGCCAGTACCAGGCGATATGTACAATATGACTGTGTACAGTATTGTGGGTAGTTGCGCTACTAGTACTTCATCTTCCATCGACCTGGTTGCATGTTAGTATCACCAACAAACAATAATAATTATACTTTTAATAGTAATAATAAAAATAAAATACTTCTACTACTGCTTTTAAATAATCGACACCAAACAAAAGATATTTTGAAAAATGTATAAGCCACCCCCTCACCAAATGTAGGTTAATAAGAGGAAATTTAAGCTGCACGTTGCCTCTTATTTTCCTGTTTCTAAATTTTGCGAGCTTATGAAGCGAACGATCCAGCATTATTAATGTAACTTTGAAATATAAGAGGTATATAATATATTTGGTGTTTCACAAAAATTGAAGATACTCCAAATTAATATTTTGATGTAACTAAATGCTCTCGCGGCATCTCAGGGCGGCATCTCAGGGCGGCACCCATATTAAAAACGCTGGTATAAACTATGCAAAATGTTCACGAACTTCAATATTTGTTGTTTCTATATCAAACCAGTACCAAGTGCTGTGAATATATCGGAAGGGTGTTCCAATAATACCGTCATCTCAGCTACTTGGACAATCCCTAACAGTGTGGTTGACACCTTCGATATCATGTGCTCCGCTGGTACTGCCTCCCCGGCATCTATTCCGCTTGAATCTAGTCCAACGAGTGATACCTTTACAGCTTCCTGTACTGAGTTACCATTACCTGGACTGGAATACAACCTCTCAGTGGTCGCTATTAGCAACAACAAGCAGAGCGCCATCCAAACTGTGGGGGTGCATGCATGTAAGTTCCGCAGACATCGATTGGAGTTGTCAGCATTTTATTGCAGACGTAATCTAGTGTAGTGGATAACTACTATCCTTTGCTACTATGTCTCCTTTGGTTTGCAAGTTTTATATCAACCACATACAATCTTTTGTTGGCAACTCAAGCTTGATCGATTACATCTCTTTTGTCGTGGCAACATTATGGCTTTGTTAAGTATCTGTAGGCAGTATGTGTATTCTTCTTTAATAAAATATATATTTCTCGATTGACAAGAAGCAAAGTTGATTCAAAAGATAGAATGTAACAAATATTTGTTGGTATAAGTTATAAGAACATGCCAAAGGTTTTCCATTGACACAATATTTCAGTGCACATGAAAATAGGTATATTATTGGGCTAAAAGATATATGTTTGGTCCACAATTTCAGCTATTTCCTGTCATATTTTGAGTTGGACGTTGTTGCAAGGGCATTCCTCTTTAGGAGACATTTCTGCTATAATCTTCGATAAACTTACGTTTTACAAATGAAAATACCTCAACATTATTTTTCATCTTAACTAGAATTCGAGTGTATTTTAATATTGCATAAGATTTTTAAATAGTATTCTTGAATATAATTTCTTTGATCCATGCAGGGCCTACTGGAGTTGTCAACCTCACAGAAGGGTCTGCATCCACGACATCCGTGAGCGCGAATTGGACTGGATCAAAGAGAGCGGTCGACAGATTCAGCATCTCATGTAGCCATGGTGATGCATCCCCAGCGACCATTGAAGACACCAGCCAGTCATCTTACATGGCGTCTTGCGTTAATCTACCAGTACCAGGCGATATGTACAATATGACTGTGTACAGTATTGTGGGTAGTTGCGCTACTAGTACCTTATCTTCCATCGACCTGGTTGCATGTTAGTATCACCAACAAACAATAATAATTATACTTTTAATAATCGCGGTAGAGGTTTACGGTACACCATGTGTAAAGTCCTAGAAGAACTAAGGAAAGTGTTTAGAAAATAGAGGTGAAATAGAAAGGCGAGAAAGTGGAGGTTGGAAGGAAGAGTATCTTTCGGAAGTGAGTATAGTCCTGAAAAGGACTGTAAACCAGAAAGTTGTAGATAGGATGAGAGGTTTGAGTAGAAGACTGGATTGAGTTGGAGAGTTGAGTAGAGTTGTAGAGCAGGAGCAGGAGAGTAGACTCGACGTTTCGGACAGGTTGACTGTCCGTCTTCACTTACTCACACCTGAAGACGGACAGTCAACCTGTCCGAAACGTCGGATCTACTCTCCTGCTCCTGCTCTACAACTCTACTCAACTCTCCAACTCAATCCAGTCTTCTACTCCAACCTCTCATCCTATCTACAACTTTCTGGTTTACAGTCCTTTTCAGGACTATACTCACTTCCGAAAGATACTCTTCCTTCCAACCTCCACTTTCCCGCCTTTGTATTTCACCTCTATTTTCTATCCACTTTCCTTAGTCCTTCTAGGACTTTACACATGGTGTACCGTAAACCTCTACCGCGATTATTCATACCACCATGCAAACCTTCAAACGTCATACTTTTAATAGTAATAATAAAAATAAAAATACTTCTACTTCTGCTTTTAAGTAATCGACACAAAACAAAAGATATTTAAAAATGTATGAGGGCGCCCCCTCCCCAAATGTAGGTTAATAAGAGGAAATTTAAGCTGCACGTTGCCTCTTATTTTCCTGTTTCTAAATTTTGCGAGCTTATGAAGCGAACGATCCAGCATTATTAATGTAACTTTGAAATATAAGAGGTATATAATATATTTGGTGTTTCACAAAAATTGAAGATACTCCAAATTAATATTTTGATGTAACTAAATGCTCTCGCGGCATCTCAGGGCGGCATCTCAGGGCGGCACCCATATTAAAAACGCTGGTATAAACTATGCAAAATGTTCACGAACTTCAATATTTGTTGTTTCTATATCAAACCAGTACCAAGTGCTGTGAATATATCGGAAGGGTGTTCCAATAATACCGTCATCTCAGCTACTTGGAAAATCCCTAACAGTGTGGTTGACACCTTCGATATCATGTGCTCCGCTGGTACTGCCTCCCCGGCATCTATTCCGCTTGAATCTAGTCCAACGAGTGATACCTTTACAGCTTCCTGTACTGAGTTACCAACACCTGGACTGGAATACAACCTCTCAGTGGTCGCTATTAGCAACAACAAGCAGAGCGCCATCCAAACTGTGGGGGTGCATGCATGTAAGTTCCGCAGACATCGATTGGAGTTGTCAGCATTTTATTGCAGACGTGTTGTAGTGTAGTGGATAACTACTATCCTTTGCTACTATGTCTCCTTTGTTGTTCAAGTTTTATATCAACCACATACAATCTTTTGTTGGCAACTCAAGCTTGATCGATTACATCTCTTTTGTCGTGGCAAGATTACGGCTTTGTTAATTATTCGTAGGCATTATGTGTATTCTTCTTTAATAAAATATATATTTCTCGACTGACAAGAAGCAAAATTGATTCAAAAGATAGAATGTAACAAATATTTGTTGGTATAATTCATAAGAACATGCTAGAAGTTTTTCCATTGACACAATATTTCAGTGCACATGAAAATAGGTATATTATTGAGCTAAAAGATATATGTTTGGTCCATAATTTCAAATATTTCCTGTCATATTTTGAGTTGGACGTTGTTGAAAGGGCATTCCTCTTTAGGAGACATTTCTGCTATAATATTCGATAAACTTACGTTTTACAAATGAAAATAACTCAACATTATTTTTCATCTTAACTAGAATTCGAGTGTATTTTGATATTGCATAAGATTTTTAAATAGTATTCTTGAGTATATTTTCTTTGATCCATGAAGGGCCTACTGGAGTTGTCAACCTCACAGAAGGGTCTGCATCCACGACATCCGTGAGCGCGAATTGGACTGGATCAAAGAGAGCGGTCGACAGATTCAGCATCTCATGTAGCCATGGTGATGCATCCCCAGCGACCATTGAAGACACCAGCCAGTCATCTTACATGGCGTCTTGCGTTAATCTACCAGTACCAGGCGATATGTACAATATGACTGTGTACAGTATTGTGGGTAGTTGCGCTACTAGTCCTTCATCTTCCATCGACCTGGTTGCATGTTAGTATCACCAAAAAACGATAATAATTATACTTTTAATAGTAATAATAATAAGAAAATACTTCAACTACTGCTTTTAAGTAATCGACACAAAACAAAAGATATTTTAAAAAATGTATGAGGGCGCCCCCTCCCCAAATGAAGGTTAATAAGAGGAAATTTAAGCTGCACGTTGCCTCTTATTTTTCTGTTTCTAAATTTTGCGAGCTTATGAAGTGAACGATCCAGCATTATTAATGTAACTTTGAAATATAAGAGGTATATAATATATTTGGTGTTTCACAAAAATTGAAGATACTCCAAATTAATATTTCGATGTAACTAAATGCTCGCGGCATCTTAGGGCGGCACCCATGTTTAAAAGACGCTTGTATAAACTATGCAAAATGTTCACGAACTTCAATATTTGTTGTTTCTATATCAAACCAGTACCAAGTGCTGTGAATATATCGGAAGGGTGTTCCAATAATACCGTCATCTCAGCTACTTGGAAAATCCCTAACAGTGTGGTTGACACCTTCGATATCATGTGCTCCGCTGGTACTGCCTCCCCGGCATCTATTCCGCTTGAATCTAGTCCAACGAGTGATACCTTTACAGCTTCCTGTACTGAGTTACCAACACCTGGACTGGAATACAACCTCTCAGTGGTCGCTATTAGCAACAACAAGCAGAGCGCCATCCAAACTGTGGGGGTGCATGCATGTAAGTTCCGCAGACATCGATTGGAGTTGTCAGCATTTTATTGCAGACGTAATCTAGTGTAGTGGATAACTACTATCCTTTGCTACCATGTCTCCTTTGTTGTGCAAGTTTTATATCAACCACATACAATCTTTTGTTGGCAACTCAAGCTTGATCGATTAATCTCTTTTGTCGTGGCAACATTAAGCCTTTGTTAAGTATCTGTAGGCAGTATGTGTATTCTTCTTTAATAAAATATATATTTCTCGATTGACAAGAAGCAAAGTTGATTCAAAAGATAGAATGTAACAAATATCTGTTGGTATAATTCATAAGAACATGCCAGAAGTTTTTATATTGACACAATATTTCAGTGCACATGAAAATAGGTTTATTATTGGGCTAAAAGATATATATATATTTATATTTCTCGATTGACAAGAAGCAAAGTTGATTCAAAAGATAGAATGTAACAAATATCTGTTGGTATAATTCATAAGAACATGCTAGAAGTTTTTCCATTGACACAATATTTCAGTGCACATGAAAATAGGTTTATTATTGGGCTAAAAGATATATGTTTGGTCCATAATTTCAGCTATTTCCTGTCATATTTTGAGTTGGACGTTGTTGAAAGGGCATTCCTCTTTAGAAGACATTTCTGCTATAATATTCGATAAACTTACATTTTACAAATGAAAATAACTCAACATTATTTTTCATCTTAACTAGAACTCGAGTGTATTTTAATATTGCATTAGATTTTTAAATAGTATTCTTGAATATAATTTCTTTGATCCATGCAGGGCCTACTGGAGTTGTCAACCTCACAGAAGGGTCTGCATCCTCGACATCCGTGAGCGCGAATTGGACTGGATCAAAGAGAGCGGTCGACAGATTCAGCATCTCATGTAGCCATGGTGATGCATCCCCAGCGACCATTGAAGACACTAGCCAGTCATCTTACATGGCGTCTTGCGTTAATCTACCAGTACCAGGCGATATGTACAATATGACTGTGTACAGTATTGTGGGTAGTTGCGCTACTAGTCCTTCATCTTCCATCGACCTGGTTGCATGTTAGTATCACCAAAAAACGATAATAATTATACTTTTAATAGTAATAATAATAATAAAATACTTCTACTACTGCTTTTAAGTAATCGACACAAAACAAAAGATATTTTAAAAAATGTATGAGGGCGCCCCCTCCCCAAATGAAGGTTAATAAGAGGAAATTTAAGCTGCACGTTGCCTCTTATTTTCCTGTTTCTAAATTTTGCGAGCTTATGAAGCGAATCATCCAGCATTATTAATGTAACTTTAAAATATAAGAGGTATATAATATATTTGGTGTTTCACAAAAATTGAAGATACTCCAAATTAATATTTTGATGTAACTAAATGCTCGCGGCATCTTAGGGCGGCACCCATGTTAAAAAAACGCTTATATAAACTATGCAAAATGTTCACGAACTTCAATATTTGTTGTTTCTATATCAAACCAGTACCAAGTGCTGTGAATATATCGGAAGGGTGTTCCAATAATACCGTCATCTCAGCTACTTGGACAATCCCTAACAGTGTGGTGGACACCTTTGATATCATGTGCTCCGCTGGTACTGCCTCCCCGACATCTATTCCGCTTGAATCTAGTCCAACGAGTGATACCTTTACAGCTTCCTGTACTGAGTTACCAACACCTGGACTGGAATACAACCTCTCAGTGGTCGCTATTAGCAACAACAAGCAGAGCGCCATCCAAACTGTGGGAGTGCATGCGTGTAAGTTCCGCAGACATCGATTGGAGTTGTCAGCATTTTATTGCAGACGTGTTGTAGTGTAGTGGATAATTACTATCCTTTGCTACCATGTCTCCTTTGTTGTGCAAGTTTTATATCAGCCACATACAATCTTTTGTTGGCAACTCAAGCTTGATCGATTAATCTCTTTTGTCGTGGCAACATTAAGCCTTTGTTAAGTATCTGTAGGCAGTATGTGTATTCTTCTTTAATAAAATATATATTTCTCGATTGACAAGAAGCAAAGTTGATTCAAAAGATAGAATGTAACAAATATCTGTTGGTATAATTCATAAGAACATGCCAGAAGTTTTTATATTGACACAATATTTCAGTGCACATGAAAATAGGTTTATTATTGGGCTAAAAGATATATATATATTTATATTTCTCGATTGACAAGAAGCAAAGTTGATTCAAAAGATAGAATGTAACAAATATCTGTTGGTATAATTCATAAGAACATGCTAGAAGTTTTTCCATTGACACAATATTTCAGTGCACATGAAAATAGGTTTATTATTGGGCTAAAAGATATATGTTTGGTCCATAATTTCAGCTATTTCCTGTCATATTTTGAGTTGGACGTTGTTGAAAGGGCATTCCTCTTTAGAAGACATTTCTGCTATAATATTCGATAAACTTACATTTTACAAATGAAAATAACTCAACATTATTTTTCATCTTAACTAGAACTCGAGTGTATTTTAATATTGCATTAGATTTTTAAATAGTATTCTTGAATATAATTTCTTTGATCCATGCAGGGCCTACTGGAGTTGTCAACCTCACAGAAGGGTCTGCATCCTCGACATCCGTGAGCGCGAATTGGACTGGATCAAAGAGAGCGGTCGACAGATTCAGCATCTCATGTAGCCATGGTGATGCATCCCCAGCGACCATTGAAGACACTAGCCAGTCATCTTACATGGCGTCTTGCGTTAATCTACCAGTACCAGGCGATATGTACAATATGACTGTGTACAGTATTGTGGGTAGTTGCGCTACTAGTCCTTCATCTTCCATCGACCTGGTTGCATGTTAGTATCACCAAAAAACGATAATAATTATACTTTTAATAGTAATAATAATAATAAAATACTTCTACTACTGCTTTTAAGTAATCGACACAAAACAAAAGATATTTTAAAAAATGTATGAGGGCGCCCCCTCCCCAAATGAAGGTTAATAAGAGGAAATTTAAGCTGCACGTTGCCTCTTATTTTCCTGTTTCTAAATTTTGCGAGCTTATGAAGCGAATCATCCAGCATTATTAATGTAACTTTAAAATATAAGAGGTATATAATATATTTGGTGTTTCACAAAAATTGAAGATACTCCAAATTAATATTTTGATGTAACTAAATGCTCGCGGCATCTTAGGGCGGCACCCATGTTAAAAAAACGCTTATATAAACTATGCAAAATGTTCACGAACTTCAATATTTGTTGTTTCTATATCAAACCAGTACCAAGTGCTGTGAATATATCGGAAGGGTGTTCCAATAATACCGTCATCTCAGCTACTTGGACAATCCCTAACAGTGTGGTGGACACCTTTGATATCATGTGCTCCGCTGGTACTGCCTCCCCGACATCTATTCCGCTTGAATCTAGTCCAACGAGTGATACCTTTACAGCTTCATGTACTGAGTTACCAACACCTGGACTGGAATACAACCTCTCAGTGGTCGCTATTAGCAACAACAAGCAGAGCGCCATCCAAACTGTGGGAGTGCATGCATGTAAGTTCCGCAGACATCGATTGGAGTTGTCAGCATTTTATTGCAGACGTGTTGTAGTGTAGTGGATAACTACTATCCTTTGCTACCATGTCTCCTTTGTTGTGCAAGTTTCATATAAACCACATACAATCTTTTGTTGGCAACTCAAGCTTGATCGATTACATCTCTTTTGTCGTGGCAACATTAAGCCTTTGTTAAGTATCTGTAGGCAGTATGTGTATTCTTCTTTAATAAAATATATATTTCTCGATTGACAAGAAGCAAAGTTGATTCAAAAGATAGAATGTAACAAATATCTGTTGGTATAATTCATAAGAAAATGCCAGAAGTTTTTCCATTGACACAATATTTCAGTGCACATGAAAATAGGTTTATTATTGGGCTAAAAGATATATATATATATTTATATTTCTCGATTGACAAGAAGCAAAGTTGATTCAAAAGATAGAATGTAACAAATATCTGTTGGTATAATTCATAAGAACATGCCAGAAGTTTTTCCATTGACACAATATTTCAGTGCACATGAAAATAGGTTTATTATTTGGCTAAAAGATATATGTTTGGTCCATAATTTCAGCTATTTCCTGTCATATTTTGAGTTGGACGTTGTTGAAAGGGCGTTCCTCTTTAGAAGACATTTCTGCTATAATATTCGATAAACTTACATTTTACAAATGAAAATAACTCAACATTATTTTTCATCTTAACTAGAACTCGAGTGTATTTTAATATTGCATTAGATTTTTAAATAGTATTCTTGAATATAATTTCTTTGATCCATGCAGGGCCTACTGGAGTTGTCAACCTCACAGAAGGGTCTGCATCCACGACATCCGTGAGCGCGAATTGGACTGGATCAAAGAGAGCGGTCGACAGATTCAGCATCTCATGTAGCCATGGTGATGCATCCCCAGCGACCATTGAAGACACCAGCCAGTCATCTTACATGGCGTCTTGCGTTAATTTACCAGTACCAGGCGATATGTACAATATGACTGTGTACAGTATTGTGGGTAGTTGCGCTACTAGTCCTTCATCTTCCATCGACCTGGTTGCATGTTAGTATCACCAACAAACGATAATAATTATACTTTTAATAGTAATAATAAAAATAAAATACTTCTACTACTGCTTTTGAAGTCCCACTGCACTACTTGTAGCTACTTGCGCCCTCTATATAACAAACAATGCATAATCGGTGACCATTGGTCCCCCATGATCCTCTTTTTCTTATGTTAACTGATAGCTGAGTTGATGAGATAACCACCTGTCCAGTGACCTTGCAGGGCGCTCTAATCCCTCCTGTAAACTATGGCAGATAAGCTTTAAGTAATCGACACAAAACAAAAGATATTTTAAAAAATGTATGAGGGCGCCCCCTCCCCAAATGTAGGTTAATAAGAGGAAATTTAAGCTGCACGTTGCCTCTTATTTTTCTGTGTCTAAATTTTGCGAGCTTATGAAGCGAACGATCCAGCATTATTAATGTAACTTTGAAATATAAGAGGTATATATTATATATTTGGTGTTTCACAAAAATTGAAGATACTCCAAATTAATATTTTGATGTAACTAAATGCTCGCGGCATCTTAGGGCGGCACCCATGTTAAAAAAAACGCTGGTATAAACTATGCAAAATGTTCACGAACTTCAATATTTGTTGTTTCTATATCAAACCAGTACCAAGTGCTGTGAATATATCGGAAGGGTGTTCCAATAATACCGTCATCTCAGCTACTTGGACAATCCCTAACAGTGTGGTGGACACCTTCGATATCATGTGCTCCGCTGGTACTGCCTCCCCGGCATCTATTCCGCTTGAATCTAGTCCAACGAGTGATACCTTTACATCTTCCTGTACTGAGTTACCAACACCTGGACTGGAATACAACCTCTCAGTGGTCGCTATTAGCAACAACAAGCAGAGCGCCATCCAAACTGTGGGAGTGCATGCATGTAAGTTCCGCAGACATCGATTGGAGTTGTCAGCATTTTATTGCAGACGTGTTGTAGTGTAGTGGATAACTACTATCCTTTGCTACCATATCTCCTTTGTTGTGCAAGTTTCATATAAACCACATACAATCTTTTGTTGGCAACTCAAGCTTGATCGATTACATCTCTTTTGTCGTGGCAACATTAAGCCTTTGTTAAGTATCTGTAGGCAGTATGTGTATTCTTCTTTAATAAAATATATATTTCTCGATTGACAAGAAGCAAAGTTGATTCAAAAGATAGAATGTAACAAATATCTGTTGGTATAATTCATAAGAAAATGCCAGAAGTTTTTCCATTGACACAATATTTCAGTGCACATGAAAATAGGTTTATTATTGGGCTAAAAGATATATATATATATTTATATTTCTCGATTGACAAGAAGCAAAGTTGATTCAAAAGATAGAATGTAACAAATATCTGTTGGTATAATTCATAAGAACATGCCAGAAGTTTTTCCATTGACACAATATTTCAGTGCACATGAAAATAGGTTTATTATTTGGCTAAAAGATATATGTTTGGTCCATAATTTCAGCTATTTCCTGTCATATTTTGAGTTGGACGTTGTTGAAAGGGCGTTCCTCTTTAGAAGACATTTCTGCTATAATATTCGATAAACTTACATTTTACAAATGAAAATAACTCAACATTATTTTTCATCTTAACTAGAACTCGAGTGTATTTTAATATTGCATTAGATTTTTAAATAGTATTCTTGAATATAATTTCTTTGATCCATGCAGGGCCTACTGGAGTTGTCAACCTCACAGAAGGGTCTGCATCCACGACATCCGTGAGCGCGAATTGGACTGGATCAAAGAGAGCGGTCGACAGATTCAGCATCTCATGTAGCCATGGTGATGCATCCCCAGCGACCATTGAAGACACCAGCCAGTCATCTTACATGGCGTCTTGCGTTAATTTACCAGTACCAGGCGATATGTACAATATGACTGTGTACAGTATTGTGGGTAGTTGCGCTACTAGTCCTTCATCTTCCATCGACCTGGTTGCATGTTAGTATCACCAACAAACGATAATAATTATACTTTTAATAGTAATAATAAAAATAAAATACTTCTACTACTGCTTTTGAAGTCCCACTGCACTACTTGTAGCTACTTGCGCCCTCTATATAACAAACAATGCATAATCGGTGACCATTGGTCCCCCATGATCCTCTTTTTCTTATGTTAACTGATAGCTGAGTTGATGAGATAACCACCTGTCCAGTGACCTTGCAGGGCGCTCTAATCCCTCCTGTAAACTATGGCAGATAAGCTTTAAGTAATCGACACAAAACAAAAGATATTTTAAAAAATGTATGAGGGCGCCCCCTCCCCAAATGTAGGTTAATAAGAGGAAATTTAAGCTGCACGTTGCCTCTTATTTTTCTGTTTCTAAATTTTGCGAGCTTATGAAGCGAACGATCCAGCATTATTAATGTAACTTTGAAATATAAGAGGTATATATTATATATTTGGTGTTTCACAAAAATTGAAGATACTCCAAATTAATATTTTGATGTAACTAAATGCTCGCGGCATCTTAGGGCGGCACCCATGTTAAAAAAAACGCTGGTATAAACTATGCAAAATGTTCACGAACTTCAATATTTGTTGTTTCTATATCAAACCAGTACCAAGTGCTGTGAATATATCGGAAGGGTGTTCCAATAATACCGTCATCTCAGCTACTTGGACAATCCCTAACAGTGTGGTGGACACCTTCGATATCATGTGCTCCGCTGGTACTGCCTCCCCGGCATCTATTCCGCTTGAATCTAGTCCAACGAGTGATACCTTTACATCTTCCTGTACTGAGTTACCAACACCTGGACTGGAATACAACCTCTCAGTGGTCGCTATTAGCAACAACAAGCAGAGCGCCATCCAAACTGTGGGGGTGCATGCATGTAAGTTCCGCAGACATCGATTGGAGTTGTCAGCATTTTATTGCAGACGTGTTGTAGTGTAGTTGGATCAATAGGAAACTCAGTCACACCGTACCAGATTGCCACTTGAAACTGTATATTTCATTGTATTCAAATCTGCAAAGATATAAATCAAAGGACTCAAAATATATGTATGTGTTATGTTACCAATAAATGAATTCACTCTCTTAAACATGTATAAGAGTTTTCCTTTCCTATTCTCATATGGGTTACAACTGAAATCAACTGAACTCTGTATTTCATAAAAATACAATACACTTTTGATTGTATCTAAATATTCTACCATGTCAATATCACATACCCAATTAATCTCCAATTAAAGACTAAATCTAGTTTAAATGACCATACGAAAAATACATGCATAACCAACAAAGAAATGACAAATATAGTCATTTCTTTCATTTATATCACCAAATCCTCAAACTATAAATTTTACTTGCCCTCCTTGGTTCTAACAAGTAACAAATTTAAGACCTTGTCCATCGCATTTTAGGATGAAACAATTTATACATTACAATTCATCATATATTTAGTATTTCTTTAAGGATCGATATAAGCGATCATATTTTATATATACCACATTCTAAATTGCTCTTAATGCATGAACTGGTTATCTTTCACTGTTTTATAACCAAAATATATAATTAATAATATCATCGGAACTTTCCCTTTTAAATTACGAGCCACGTCTACAATTCGTAAAACGCCACCTACGTTCAAACCAAAGACCTGTACACGTATGCAATACGTTTTTGATATTTTGATATTTTATAATAATGCAACCGTAGGTATATCTGAATTAGTATTACCAGCATTTTATAGAGACATGCTGGATGTTTGGATGGCTACGAGAATATTTTTGTTAAAGGAAAGTGTTTCTAGGAGGAATGAGATTATCTATAATAATAGAATTGTTTTTATCGATGGTCATGTTCATTTCGATGAGGGATTATTTAACAAAAATGTTTATAAGTTGCATCATATTGTTGATAAGGAAGGTAATATAAAATCTAATGAGGAATTTCAAAGAAAAGGTTTAAATAGTTTAGAAATTAGTAAAATACAACGTATTTTTCTTGGCATCCCGTCTTCATGGAAACAATTTTTAAATAAAAATACTCACTCAAATATAGATAGGGAATTGGATATGGATATTATTATGTTTGAAAAGGTATATATGTTAGATCAAATAACCTCAAAAATTATATACGCTTTTTTATTAAATAAGAAAGTAGAAAAATCATATGCAGAACGACATTTAGAACAGACTTATAATATTCATGGAAAAGATATACAATTAATATTTTTAAGACTTAGAAAGTACACATTGAAAGGTAAGCTTAGAGAATTTCAATTTAAAATGCTTTATAATATTATATATACCAAATTACATTTATATAAATTTAAAATGGTTAATAGTAAATTTATGTTCTTTTTGTGGTAAATATGAGGAAACTTACGAGCATTTATTTTGTCTTTGTGAGAAAGTAAAACCAATTTGGGAAGAGTGTGGGAATTCATTTAATTTAGTAGAAATTACAAATATAAATTGGAAAGGTATCCATGTAGGGATAGTTGAGTTTAACATAGGGAAGGAACAGTTATTAAATCATATCATAATTTTGATAAAATATATGATATTTATAGATAGTAAAAATAGACAAAAACCACCAACTTATTTGGAGATTAAGAAAAGATTATTAGAAAATAGAAAGGAGGAGAAGAAATTAGCTGGGGACCGAGGTACACTCACATATCATTTTAGAAAGTGGGACAATTTAGAATAGCTTCGTGCAGAATAAATAAAATAAGGAAGGCGAATAGAAGCAATGAAATGGACATGGCTGATATAATGGTCGAGATTCCCACAAAATGTAGGCATGTTTTAAGTGGGTGTTTGTGTGGGTGTCTGTGCACGTGTGTGTATGTGTGTATGTAAGTATTTTTTTTTTTTTTTTTTTTTTTTCTTCTTCTTTTTTTCATCTCTTAAATGTCTTTTTATGTTCATGCCTTCTTCATGCATGCATGTTTCATGCTTTATTTGATGTAAATAGTAAAATTTCATTTGTATTATTTAGATGTGAATGTAAAATCATATTCTATATAATAATATTAACATGCAGATTATTTTATGTATTGATTTTGTTATTGTTTGTGAAAAGCAATGGAGAAAATAAAATATCATTGAAAAAAATAAAAAAAATAAACTCAAATATCCGCCCAAGTACCAAATTCAAATGTACATTTCAATACCCGCTTATTCTTTTGCTTGAGCTCTGAAAATTATAAATTTCTCATACTTCTTACACACATAAATGAAATTACTGAATATCCAATGTCAATTACTACAAAAACTCACTTCTTAGGCGACAATCTGGCGTCACAAGTTAATAAATTTTTCTCTCGACAACTGCTGACGTCTTGCTCTGTACTCTGTCAAATGGCGTAATAAGGTAACTTTAAAAACCTAAACTTAGCGATTATGTAACTCGCTTCTTCTGACTCAAAATCTACGGTGTCTTCAAATTACTATAAAAAAAAAGAAAACATTAAATAGAAATACAAAATAAGGTTTGTTCATCAAACCAGTAGTGGATAACTACTATCCTTTGCTACCATGTCTCCTTTGTTGTGCAAGTTTTATATAAACCACATACAATATTTTGTTTGCAACTCAAGCTTGATCGATTACATTTCTTTTGTCGTGGCAACATTAAGCCTTTGTTAAGTTTCTGTAGGCAGTATGTGTATTCTTCTTTAATAAAATATATATTTCTCGATTGACAAGAAGCAAAGTTGATTCAAAAGATAGAATGTAACAAATATCTGTTGATATAATTCATAAGAACATGCCAGAAGTTTTTCCATTCATACAATATTTCAGTGCACATGAAAATAGGTTTATTATTGGGCTAAAAGATATATGTTTGGTCCATAATTTCAGCTATTTCCTGTCATATTTTGAGTTGGACGTTTTTGAAAGGGCATTTCTCTTTAGGAGAAATTTCTGCTATAATATTCGATAAACTTACATTTTACAAATGAAAATAACTCAACATTATTTTTCATCTTAACTAGAACTCGAGTGTATTTTAATATTGCATTAGATTTTTAAATAGTATTCTTGAATATAATTTCTTTGATCCATGCAGGGCCTACTGGAGTTGTCAACCTCACAGAAGGGTCTGCATCCACGACATCCGTGAGCGCGAATTGGACTGGATCAAAGAGAGCGGTCGACAGATTCAGCATCTCATGTAGCCATGGTGATGCATCCCCAGCGACCATTGAAGACACCAGCCAGTCATCTTACATGGCGTCTTGCGTTAATCTACCATTACCAGGCGATATGTACAATATGACTGTGTACAGTATTGTGGGTAGTTGCGCTACTAGTCCTTCATCTTCCATCGACATGGTTGCATGTAAGTATCACCAAAAAACGATAATAATTATACTTTTAATAGTAATAATAATAATAAAATACTTCTACTACTGCTTTTAAGTAATCGACACAAAACAAAAGATATTTTTAAAAATGTATGAGGGCGCCCCCTCCCCAAATGTAGGTTAATAAGAAGAAATTTAAGCTGCACGTTGCCTCTTATTTTCCTGTTTCTAATTTTGCGAGCTTATGAAGCGAACGATCCAGCATTATTAATGTAACTTTGAAATATAAGAGGTATATAATATATTTGGTGTTTCACAAAAATTGAAGATACTCCAATTTAATATTTTGATGTAACTAAATGCTCTCGCGGCATTTCAGGGCGGCACCCATGTTAAAAAAACGCTGGTATAAACTATGCAAAATGTTCACGAACTTCAATATTTGTTGTTTCTATATCAAACCAGTACCAAGTGCTGTGAATATATCGGAAGGGTGTTCCAATAATACCGTCATCTCAGCTACTTGGACAATCCCTAACAGTGTGGTAGACACCTTCGATATCATGTGCTCCGCTGGTACTGCCTCCCCGGCATCTATTCCGCTTGAATCTAGTCCAACGAGTGATACCTTTACAGCTTCCTGTACTGAGTTACCAACACCTGGACTGGAATACAACCTCTCAGTGGTCGCTATTAGCAACAACAAGCAGAGCGCCATCCAAACTGTGGGAGTGCATGCATGTAAGTTCCGCAGACATCGATTGGAGTTGTCAGCATTTTATTGCAGACGTGTTGTAGTGTAGTGGATAACTACTATCCTTTGCTACCATGTCTCCTTTGTTGTGCAAGTTTTATATAAACCACATACAATTTTTGTTTGGGAAACTCAAGCTTGATCGATAACATCTCTTTTGTCGTTCGATCATTATCGCTGTGTTAAGTATTTGTAGGCAGTATGTGTATTCTTCTGTAATATGATACCATATTTGTTTCACTGTGCAGCCATATAATGAGCGGTAAATCAGAATAAGGGGCATGGTTAAAAGTGAGAAGTTGCGAAATACACTGATAAGCACTTGTATTGTTAAGAAACGCACCACACAGCAACCCTACAATCTTCAAAGAAAGAAGAATCAAAACAACAAGAGCAGTCAATGTTTAACTTTTTGCTTTACAACCATGCCCCTTTTTTAATGGTAAGTCAGATTTCGTGAAGGAAAAATGGGGTATCATCTAAAAGACGAATAAACGCACTAACAATATACCAACACGAAGAGATAATTGTGCTAAAGCAACAGAGATGTAATCAACCAAACTTAGATTTCCAAACTTTTTTTCAGTGGTTTATATTAAAAATATATATTTCTCGATTGACAAGAAGCAAAGTTGATTCAAAAGATAGAGGGTAACAAATATTTGTTGGTACATTTCATAAGAACATACCAGAAGTTTTTTCAATTAACACAATATTTCAGTGCACCTAAAACTAGGTATATTATTGGACTAACAGATAAATGTTTGGTCTACAATTTCAGCTATTTCCTATCATATTTTGAGTTGGACCATGTTGAAAGGGTATAACTTTTTAGGAGACATTTGTGCTATAATATTCTCAAAACTGACATTTTAGAAATGAAAATATCTCAACATTATTTTACATCTTAACTAGAACTCGAGTGTATTTTAATATTGCATTAGATATTTAAATAGTATTCTTGAATATAATTTCTTTTTATCCATGCAGGGCCTGCTGGAGTTGTCAACCTCACAGAAGGGTCTGCATCCACGACATCCGTGAGCGCGAATTGGACTGGACCAAAGAAAGCGGTCGAAAGTTTCAGCATCTCATGTAGCCATGGTGATGCATCCCCAGCGACCATTGAAGTCACCAGCCAGTCATCTTACATGGCGTCTTGCGTTAATCTGCCGGTACCAGGCGATACGTACAATATTACTGTGTACAGTATTGTGGATAGTTGCTCAACTAATACTTCGTCTTCTATTTCCCTGGTTTCATGTTAGTAGCATTATCTTTTTCGTCTATAACGAGGTAAAAAAAGCTACATTTGTTTGTGCATATGTTTTCTATAAAACATCAGCTGAAAATTACATTTTTTTGACATTTTTGCATCGTGACGTTATTTAAACGATTTTTTGATAAGAGTTTCTGTAAAATACTTCTCTTAATATCCTTTAGTTTGATTAAGATCTTAACATGTTATTATGTGATTTTTTTTTGAAAAACTATTTCACCTGATGAATAATAATAAATAATATTTAATTTTTATATAGCGCTTAATAAAAATGTTTCTAAGCGCTTTACAAATATACTATTATCCCGGTCATTGGATTCAGTGCTTGCCCGCACACAACGTGTGCACAATCTCCACTCCCTGGGGAGCATTCCAGCCAGGCGTTACATGACGCTCAAAAACTGTTTGACCAACAATGACGGTCGCATCCTACTGGGTACCCATTTAACACCTGGGTGGAGAATAGCAAGTGCAGGTCAATATCTTGCCAAAGGATATTAGTGCCGTGTCGGGATTCGAACCCTCGACCTTCGCATCTCCAAGTCAAGCGTCAAGAGTATATCAATTGATTTGTATGCTTTGCAGATCATCCCCATTCTCATTTTTAAAAATCTCAGTACACACCGGAGTGTTGGCTCAGTCAGTAGAGCCTCACAACCGGGAGGTCGTATCATACCAAAATACGTTAAAAGATATGAGTTGTTGCTACCTTGTTTGGCGTTCAACAATAAGGGATAGAGCAACGTCGATCTGGCACTGCTCAGTGGCTGCCGGGCTCACGATCAATTGGGCAAAAAGAATTTCCGTTTCGTTTTAATAAAATTTGGAGTGGACTATTAGGCTATCATTATTATTATTACAAAGTTGCTTTCATTTAGTGTCTTTTTCAACACTAATTCAAATTTTCCATTGCAGACGTTGACGACTGTAATCCTAGTCCCTGTTCGAATGGTGGAACATGTACAGATGGTGTCAGCTCTTATACATGTAATTGTGCTACTGGTTATACTGGAATGAATTGCTCAACAGGTAAATAAATTGCGTCTTAATTCTCTGAAGACTTACCAATCAGATTCGTCAGATATTCTTTATTTGAAGAAAAAAAAATCATCTCTTTTTCGTTCATAACGAGGTAAAAGAAGCTACATTTGTTTATGCATACGTTTTTCATAAAAAAAATCCTCTGAAATCACATTTTGTTGGCATTTTGGCATCGTGACGTTATTTAGGCGACTTGTTGTATATATTTGATAAAAGTTTCTTCACTATACTTCTCTCAATATCCTTTAGTTTAATTAAGATCTTAACATGTTATTATGTGATTAAAAAAATATATTTCACCTGATAAAAGAGTATATCAATTGATTTTCATGCTTTGCAGATCATCCCCATTCTTATTTGTTTATATCTCTGTACAAAGTGGTTTTCACTCAGTGTCTTTTTCAACACAAATTCAAATTTTCCATTGTAGACATTGACGACTGTGATCCTAATCCCTGTTCGATCGGTGGAACATGTAAAGATGGTGTCAGCTCTTATGCATGTACATGTTACTAAGTTGTGTCTCAATTCTCTGCAGATTACAACATAAGATTTGTCAGAAATTCTTCTTTCGAAAAAAAGTTTGGCCCTTTTTCGTGTACATTTTTGTCTCAAAATTACACTTGTTTCTGCATACGTGTTCTGTATTATATCTGCTAATGACATTTTGATCACATAACTGCAGAGTTACGTAATTTCGGCGCCTTTCGTATATTTGTTAGGAAGAGTTCCTTTAATTTACTTCAGTTAATTTTCTTAAATTTCATTTTGATCTTAATATCTTATCCAGTGAAGAAAAAAAAAAATCATCTGATGAAAGAGCATATCAATTCTCGATAACGCCAAAACTCCCACATGCCTATATGTGCAACTATTGGATGTAATTTGCGAGCCATTTTCCAGGACTAACAGACTTCCGATGTACGGTTCACGCAAGCTTGGAAATTTTTCTTAATTCAGTGTCAACAGGGTTGAAAGTACAGACAAAAGATGCGAGGATGTTTCACCTTTTGGTGCGATAATGAGAGAAATTTGATTCCTCTTGATTTTGAGTAGACACATGGAAAATGGGGGTGCATGTTACTTTCAAGAGCAGATTTGATATTGTGATTACCGCAACGATCTCTATTAACTACGATTTGTTTTTGCTTTAGGGTATGTTTAGGCTTGTATATTTTATCCTGATCGTACCGATTCAACTGCTAAGGTCACTTAAAATTCAGACTATGTATTTGACATTTTTGCGTTCATTTTCACATTAATTTTATCCCGATGAAGGGAAAATTGATTTAGTGACCTTTTTTTCCCGTTAACCTAAATAAGGCCGGGGGTCATAATGCCCCTCCCAGTCGAATTTTGGCCGCTGCATCAAGACCCCTGAACCTTTGGCGCTGAAATTTCATGGGTTCTTTTCCACATGTTACCTGCATATTTTGATACCAAATTTGTTATGGGTGAACCTATGGTTCGGATGTTAGGTGACAAAATATAATCACAAGTCAATCAAAAAATGTAATTCTCACAAATGTGCGTGTGTAAGTATATTGCAGTTATATGATCTTTATCAAAATCAATATTATGAGTGATTCATTTCATGTTATGCTGTCATACATTTATGATTATATTTTTTTTTTATTCACATAAGAAATTACATAAATTAAAAATACCAGAAATTGGTAATTATAAATATAAAAGAAACTATAGTTTCATATGAAAACAACATGTGGCAAACATATTTGTACCTGTATGTGTGTTTATTTGTTATTTGTATTAGAATGATTATATTTCAATTGATAAATGTTATTATTAAACTAAAACAGCAATTTCAAAACAATCTGCCAGTGCATTGTTCAAAATCACGCATTTTTGAAAATTTCCAAAAAATGTTTGCCTATTGTCATACAAATATTAATTAAAAAAAAAAAATATATATATATACCGGTATATACTTCAACCTATCACCATGCTAATGGTCATATTAATTTGACCTTCCTAGGCCGAGATCTTAGGAGGGGCCAGAATGCTTCCGCCCGGCCGTATTAACTCTTGCAGTGCCAGAGGTGCAAATATGCACCAATTAATACACACAAACCCCATAGACCACCAATCTCCTTGGCACCATCAGAGTTAAGGCCTCAAATGGCCCGGCCTTTTTAGGGTTAAGGGAACACCAAGATTAGTGAGACAATAAGATTTTTCCAAAATATGTTTTCTTTCTAAGGCCGGGATTTTCTGAAAGATTCGAACATTAACCGAGGTGATTTAGTTCGTTTTATACTCCATTTGATTTATTGATTAAAGGGATAGTTGAGTTCTGTTTTCAGACCGCAAATGCCTCAAAGTGCATTGGTATTGCTCTTATTCTTATCTATGACATTTCTAGTGCCCTTTCAAGACCTAAAATTGCTATGAAGGTAATTTTAGACCCCAAAATGTGTGAAATTTAGCCAATACAATTATACCAATTCAGCTCCACTTTCAAAAAAATATGGTGACCGTTAATTAATTAATTAATTAGAAATAACAATACATAGGCCGGCTGGTTGTGCGTAATATAACCAACACGAAAATGCCAACAAAAACAATATCATTGGCTGAAATACGACGTAAAAGGCGCTATTTCAACGGTTTCTTTTCTCAAATTATCTTATATTTGTGGTGGTACACAAGTATTATTGATTGTTATATTTATGGATATTTCAGCCGTCTCTGAACCGATTTTGATCAAACAAAGATGGTTTGTCATTTAAATTGTATGTTCTTTCAAATTTGACACTTAGTTTTTCATTATCTCACGAAAAAAAACTTTTTTGTAACGGCCTCTGCAACAGAACTCAACTATCCCTTTAAAAGTTTTACAAATATATTTTTTTTTCTCCACTGTCATTGACTTAATTAAAAATACCAGATTTAACTTGATTTTTCCTTTTATCCGCCACATGACGATCAATTGCTTAAACGCAACATTATTTTTCTCATCGCTTTTATCCCAATCATTGTCTTCGGAACTCACTTTGCACAGATATCGACAATTGTTCTTCCGATCCGTGTGAGAATGAAGGAGTTTGTACTGATGGATTAAACACCTATACTTGTGCCTGCGTTCTTGGCTATACTGGGACTAGGTGTGAAACAGGTGAGCTATTAAAGTCAAAGCAGATTACTTACCTGCATACATACATTTTTCGTGTAAAGCAAATGCTCCTTGCACATCAAATAACATTTTCCTCTTAGTTTGATTTCTATCTTAATATTTATCCTGTGATTAAACAAAAATTGTCACTTGATGAAAAAGCTAATGGATTTGCTTTTAAGCTTCGCAGATCATCCCCTCTATCATTTTTTGGAAAAGTCTTTGTAAAAAGTGGCTTTCATTCAGTGTCTTTGTCAATACAATTTCAAAAGTTCCATCTCAGATATTGACAACTGTGATTAAAATCCCTGCTTGAATGGTGGGACATGTAAAGATCATGTTAATTGTTATAACTGTAACTGTTCTAGTAATTATACTGGATTGACCTGCTCAACAGGAAACTGAAGTGTGTCTTAATTCTCTGAAGACTACCAATAAGATTCGTCAGAAAATCTTCATGTTAAGATCATCATTAACCGAACATTAACCGAGGTGATTTAGTTCGTTTTATACTCCATTTGATTTATTGATTAAAGGGATAGTTGAGTTCTGTTTTCAGACCGCAAATGCCTCAAAGTGCATTGGTATTGCTCTTATTCTTATCTATGACATTTCTAGTGCCCTTTCAAGACCTAAAATTGCTATGAAGGTAATTTTAGACCCCAAAATGTGTGAAATTTAGCCAATACAATTATACCAATTCAGCTCCACTTTCAAACAAATATGGTGACCGTTAATTAATTAATTAATTAGAAATAACAATACACAGGCCGGCTGGTTGTGCGTAATATAACCAACACGAAAATGCCAACAAAAGACAACATCAACATTGGCTGAAATACGACGTAAAAGGCGCTATTTCGTTTTTTCAACGGTTTCTTTTCTCAAATTATCTTACACTGTTGGTCATAATGGTGGAATATTTATTTTTACCCCAGTTTAGGAAAGGATTTGAAAAAATTATTTGTTTCTAATAGATCTAGATAATGGCATACATTCTCAGATTTTATTGAATATCAATTTGCGAGTGTTTGTTTTGCGTGACTGCTAAATCATATGTGTGCTACTATGCCAATCAGCTAGGGAATCTACGTCCTTAAATCATAATTGACAGTAATGAAGATTAATGCCTCACAAAAGGGCACTAATATAGCTGATCGACACGATTTTTATCCTGGGGCCTCACAGTAACGAGGCCATTGCTTAGCCCCTGAATCATGACTGTACGCAGTGTTTGCTAGGGTACGCGGCCCCTTCCACAAATCCCCCAAAATGAAGAAAATGCAATAAATTGTCAAAAATTCATTGCATTTTCCCCCGGCCCAAAACAGGAAAAATTCCTCTATGTGGCCATGCCTTGAACCATAATGCACAGCCCTACCGAATATTATTTTCTGTTGGGGGCCGGGGGGAGAATGTATACCATTATCTAGATCTATTAGAAATAAATATTTTTTAAATCCTTCCCTAAACTGGGGTAAAAATAAATATTCCACCATTATGACCAACAGTGTATATTTGTGGTGGTACACAAGTATTATTAATTGTTATATTTATGGATATTTCAGCCGTCTCTGAACCGATTTTGATCAAACAAAGATGGTTTGTCATTTAAATTGTATGTTCTTTCAAATTTGACACTCAGTTTTTCATTATCTCACGAAAAAAAAAAAAAATCTTTTTTGTAACGCCCTAGGCAACAGAACTCAACTATCCCTTTAAAAGTTTTACAAATATAATTTTTTCTCCACTGTCATTGACTTAATTAAAAAAACAGATTTAACTTGATCTTTTCCTTTTATCCGCCACATGACGATCAATTGCTTAAACGCAAAATTAATTTTTCATCGCTTTGTTCCCAATCATTGTCCTCGGAACTCACTTTGCACAGATATCGACAATTGTTCTTCCGATCCGTGTGAGAATGAAGGAGTTTGTACTGATGGATTAAACACCTATACTTGTGCCTGCGTTCTTGGCTATACTGGGACTAGGTGTGAAACAGGTGAGCTATTAAAGTCAAAGCAGATTACTTACCTGCATACATACATTTTCGTGTAAAGCAAATGCTCCTTGCACATCAAACAACATTTTCCTCTTAGTTTGATTTCTATCTTAATATTTATCCTGTGATTAAACAAAAATTGTCACTTGAAGAAAGAGCTAATGGATTGGCTTTTAAGCTTCGCAGATCATCCCTACTATCATTTTTTGGAAAAGTCTTTGTAAAAAGTGGCTTTCATTCAGTGTCTTTGTCAATACAATTTCAAAAGTTCCATCGCAGATATTGACAACTGTGATTAAAATCCCTGCTTGAATGGTGGGACATGTAAAGATCATGTTAATTGTTATAACTGTAACTGTTCTAGTAATTATACTGGATTGACCTGCTCAACAGGAAACTGAAGTGTGTCTTAATTCTCTGAAGACTACCAATAAGATTCGTCAGAAAATCTTCATGTTAAGATCATCATTAACCGAACATTAACCGAGGTGATTTAGTTCGTTTTATACTCCATTTGATTTATTGATTAAAGGAATAGTTGAGTTCTGTTTTCAGACCGCAAATGCCTTCAAGATGCATTGTTATTGCTCTTATTCTTATCTATGACATTTCTAGTGCCCTTTCAAGACCTTAAATTGCTATGAAGGTAATGTTAGACCCCAAAATGTGTGAAATTTAGCCAATACAATTATACCAATTCAGCTCCACTTTAAAAAAAAAATGGTGACCGTTAATTAATTAATTAATTAGAAATAACAATACATAGGCCGGCTGGTTGTACGTAGTATAACCAACACGAAAATGCCAACAAAAAACAACTTCAACATTGGTTGAAATACGACGTAAAAGGCGCTATTTCGTTTTTTCAACGGTTTCTTTTCTTAAATTATCTTATATTTGTGGTGGTACACAAGTATTATTGATTGTTATATTTATGGATATTTCAGCCGTCTCTGAACCGATTTTGATCAAACAAAGATGGTTTGTCATTTAAATTGTATGTTCTTTCAAATTTGACACTCAGTTTTTCATTATCTCACGAAAAAAAAAATCTTTTTTGTAACGCCCTCTGCAACAGAATTCAACTATCCCTTTAAAAGTTTTACAAATATAATTTTTTTTCTCCACTGTCATTGACTTAATTAAATATACCAGATTTAACTTGTTTTTTTACTTTTATCCGCCACATGACGATCAATTGCTTAAACGCAAAATTATTTTTCTCATCGCTTTGTTCCCAATCATTGTCTTCGGAACTCACTTTGCACAGATATCGACAATTGTTCTTCCGATCCGTGTGAGAATGAAGGAGTTTGTACTGATGGATTAAACACCTATACTTGTGCCTGCGTTCTTGGCTATACTGGGACTAGGTGTGAAACAGGTGAGCTATTAAAGTCAAAGCAGATTACTTACCTGCATACATACATTTCTCGTGTAAAGCAAATGCTCCTTGCACATCAAATAACATTTTCCTCTTAGTTTGATTTCTATCTTAATATTTATCCTGTGATTAAACAAAAATTGTCACTTGAAGAAAGAGCTAATGGATTGGCTTTTAAGCTTCGCAGATCATCCCCACTATCATTTTTTGGAAAAGTCTTTGTAAAAAGTGGCTTTCATTCAGTGTCTTTGTCAATACAATTTCAAAAGTTCCATCGCAGATATTGACAACTGTGATTAAAATCCCTGCTTGAATGGTGGGACATGTAAAGATCATGTTAACTGTTATACCTGTAACTGTTCTAGTAATTATACTGGATTGACCTGCTCAACAGGAAACTGAAGTGTGTCTCAATTCTCTGAAGACTACCAATAAGATTCGTCAGAAAATCTTCATGTTAAGATCATCATTAACCGAACATTAACCGAGGTGATTTAGTTCGTTTTATACTCCATTTGATTTATTGATTAAAGGGATAGTTGAGTTCTGTTTTCAGACCGCAAATGCCTTCAAAATGCTTTGTTATTGCTCTTATTCTTATCTATGACATTTCTAGTGCCCTTTCAAGACCTAAAATTGCTATGAAGGTAATTTTAGACCCCAAAATGTGTGAAATTTAGCCAATACAATTATACCAATTCAGCTCCACTTTCAAAAAAATATGGTGACCGTTAACTAATTAATTAATTAGAAATAACAATACACAGGTCGGCTAGTTGTGCGTAATATAACCAACACGAAAATGCCAACAAAAACAACATCAACATTGGCTGAAATACGACGTAAAATTCGTTTTTCAACGGTTTCTTTTCTCAAATTATCTTATATTTGTGGTGGTACACAAGTATTATTGATTGTTATATTTATGAATATTTCAGCCGTCTCTGAACCGATTTTGATCAAACAAAGATGGTTTGTCATTTAAATTGTATGTTCTTTCAAATTTGACACTCAGTTTTTCATTATCTCACGAAAAAAAAAACTTTTTTGTAACGCCCTCTGCAACAGAATTCAACTATCCCTTTAAAAGTTTTACAAATATAATTTTTTTCTCAACTGTCATTGACTTAATTAAATATACCAGATTTAACTTGTTTTTTACTTTTATCCGCCACATGACGATCAATTGCTTAAAGGAAAAATTATTTTTCTCATCGCTTTTATCCCAATCATTGTCTTCGGAACTCACTTTGCACAGATATCGACAATTGTTCTTCTGATCCGTGTGAGAATGAAGGAGTTTGTACTGATGGATTAAACACCTATACTTGTGCCTGCGTTCTTGGCTATACTGGGACTAGGTGTGAAACAGGTGAGCTATTAATGTCAAAGCAGATTACTTACCTGCATACATACATTTCTCGTGTAAAGCAAATGCTCCTTGCACATCAAATAACATTTTCCTCTTAGTTTGATTTCTATCTTAATATTTATCCTGTGATTAAACAAAAATTGTCACTTGATGAAAGAGCTAATGGATTGGCTTTTTGAGGCTTCGCAGATCACCTCCACTATCATTTTTTGGAAAAGTCTTTGCAAAAAGTGGCTTTCATTCAGTGTCTTTGTCAATACAATTTCAAAATTTCCATCGCAGATATTGACAACTTTGATTAAAATCCCCGCTTGAATGGTGGGACATGTAAAGATCATGTTAATTGTTATACCTGTAACTGTTCTAGTAATTATACTGGATTGGCCTACTCAACAGGAAACTGAAGTGTGTTTCAATTCTCTGAAGACTACCAATAAGATTCGTCAGAAAATCTTCATGTTAAGATCATCATTAACCGAACATTAACCGAGGTGATTTAGTTCGTTTTATACTCCATTTGATTTATTGATTAAAGGAATAGTTGAGTTCTGTTTTCAGACCGCAAATGCCTTCAAAATGCTTTGTAATTGCTCTTATTATTTTTATCTTATCTATGACATTTCTAGTGCCCTTTCAATACCTAAAATTGCTATGAAGGTAATTTTAGACCCCAAAATGTGTGAAATTTAGCCAATACAATTATACCAATTCAGCTCCACTTTCAAAAAAAAAAGGTGACCGTTAATTAATTAATTAATTAGAAATAACAATGCACAGGTCGGCTGGTTGTGCGTAATATAACCAACACGAAAATGCCAACAAAAACAACATCAACATTGGCTGAAATACGACGTAAATGGCGCTATTTCGTTTTTTCAACGGTTTCTTTTCTCAAATTATCTTATATTTGTGGTGGTACACAAATATTATTGATTGTTATATTTATGGATATTTCAGCCGTCTCTGAACCGATTTTGATCAAACAAAGATGATTTGTCATTTAAATTATATGTTCTTTCAAATTTGACACTTAGTTTTTCATTATCTCACGAAAAAAAAACCTTTTTTGTAACGCCCTCTGCAACAGAACTCAACTATCCCTTTAAAAGTTTTACAAATATAATTTTTTTCTCCACTGTCATTGACTTAAAGGTAAAGACCAGTATTGGAAACGCCCCAATTTTAAAAAATGAAATGGAAGCTCTCATTACCAATCATGTAAAAGAATATGTTTTGACTAATACATGATGATAAAAAATTTGCCGGGAAACCGCCTTCTAATTCATATATTTGGTAAATTTGTTTCTCTCATGGTCTGTGAGATATATAGGGTAGTCCCATATACATCTTTCTGTGTATAGTGCTTGTAACTTTACGAAGAATGGGCCAAATTTCTTATCATTTTGATGATTGCAGAACCTTGCAGATGCTAGATGCTAGAGGATCAACCTTTTCTGATCGATTCCACAACGTTTCTTTCACAATGCAATCGCATGACCATAACTGGTCTTTACCTTTAATTAAAAATACCAGATTTAACTTGATTTTTCCTTTTATCCGCCACATGACGATCAATTGCCTAAACGCAAAATTATTTTTCTCCTCGCTTTTATCCCAATCATTGTCTTCGGAACTCACTTTGCACAGATATCGACAATTGTTCTTCCGATCCATGTGAGAATGAAGGAGTTTGTACTGATGGATTAAACACCTATACTTGTGCCTGCGTTCTTGGCTCTACTGGGACTAGGTGTGAAACAGGTGAGCTATTAAAGTCAAAGCAGATTACTTACCTGCATACATACATTTTTCGTGTAAAGCAAATGCTCCTTGCACATCAAATAACATTTTCCTCTTAGTTTGATTTCTATCTTAATATTTATCCTGTGATTAAACAAAAATTGTCACTTGATGAAAGAGCTAATGGATTGGCTTTTTTAAGGCTTCGCAGATCATCCCTACTATCATTTTTTGGAAAAGTCTTTGTAAAAAGTGGCTTTCATTCAGTGTCTTTGTCAATACAATTTCAAAAGTTCCATCGCAGATATTGACAACTGTGATTAAAATCCCTGCTTGAATGGTGGGACATGTAAAGATCATGTTAATTGTTATACCTGTAACTGTTCTAGTAATTATACTGGATTGACCTGCTCAACAGGAAACTGAAGTGTGTCTCAATTCTCTGAAGACTACCAATAAGATTCGTCAGAAAATCTTCATGTTAAGATCATCATTAACCGAACATTAACCGAGGTGATTTAGTTCGTTTTATACTCCGTTTGATTTATTGATTAAAGGGATAGTTGAGTTCTGTTTTCAGACCGCAAATGCCTTCAAAATGCATTGTTATTGCTCTTATTCTTATCTATGACATTTCTAGTGCCCTTTCAAGACCTAAAATTGCTATGAAGGTAATTTTAGACCCCAAAATGTGTGAAATTTAGCCAATACAATTATACCAATTCAGCTCCACTTTCAAAAAATATGGTGACCGTTAATTAATTAATTAATTAGAAATAACAATGCACAGGTCGGCTGGTTGTGCGTAATATAACCAACACGAAAATGCCAACAAAAACAACATCAACATTGGCTGAAATACGACGTAAAAGGCGCTATTTCGTTTTTTCAACGGTTTCTTTTCTCAAATTATCTTATATTTGTGGTGGTACACAAATATTATTGATTGTTATATTTATGGATATTTCAGCCGTCTCTGAACCGATTTTGATCAAACAAAGATGAATTGTCATTTAAATTGTATGTTCTTTCAAATTTGACACTCAGTTTTTCATTATCTCACGAAAAAAAACCTTTTTTGTAACGCCCTCTGCAACAGAACTCAACTATCCCTTTAAAAGTTTTACAAATATAATTTTTTTCTCCACTGTCATTGACTTAAAGGTAAAGACCAGTATTGGAAACGCCCCAATTTTAAAAAATGAAATGGAAGCTCTCATTACCAATCATGTAAAAGAATATGTTTTGACTAATACATGATGATAAAAAATTTGCCGGGAAACCGCCTTCTAATTCATATATTTGGTAAATTTGTTTCTCTCATGGTCTGTGAGATATATAGAGTAGTCCCATATACATCTTTCTGTGTATAGTGCTTGTAACTTTACGAAGAATGGGCCAAATTTCTTATCATTTTAATGATTGCAGAACCTTGCAGATGCTAGATGCTAGAGGATCAACCTTTTCTGATCGATTCCACAACGTTTCTTTCACAATGCAATCGCATGACCATAACTGGTCTTTACCTTTAATTAAAAATACCAGATTTAACTTGATTTTTCCTTTTATCCGCCACATGACGATCAATTGCCTAAACGCAAAATTATTTTTCTCATCGCTTTTATCCCAATCATTGTCTTCGGAACTCACTTTGCACAGATATCGACAATTGTTCTTCCGATCCGTGTGAGAATGAAGGAGTTTGTACTGATGGATTAAACACATATAATTGTGCCTGCGTTCTTGGCTATACTGGGACTAGGTGTGAAACAGGTGAGCTATTAAAGTCAAAGCAGATTACTTACCTGCATACATACATTTTTCGTGTAAAGCAAATGCTCCTTGCACATCAAATAACATTTTCCTCTTAGTTTGATTTCTATCTTAATATTTATCCTGTGATTAAACAAAAATTGTCACTTGATGAAAGAGCTTATGGATTGGCTTTTAAGCTTCGCAGATCATCCCCACTATCATTTTTGGAAAAGTCTTTGTAAAAAGTGGCTTTCATTCAGTGTCTTTGTCAATACAATTTCAAAAGTTCCATCTCAGATATTGACAACTGTGATTAAAATCCCTGCTTGAATGGTGGGACATGTAAAGATCATGTTAATTATTATACCTGTAACTGTTCCAGTAATTATAGTGGATTGACCTGCTCAACAGGAAACTGAAGTGTGTCTCAATTCTCTGAAGACTACCAATAAGATTCGTCAGAAAATCTTCATGTTAAGATCATCATTAACCGAACATTAACCGAGGTGATTTAGTTCTTTTTATACTCCATTTGATTTTTATGATTAAAGGGATAGTTGAGTTCTGTTTTCAGACCGCAAATGCCTTCAAAATGCATTGTTATTGCTCTTATTCTTATCTATGACATTTCTAGTGCCCTTTCAAGACCTTAAATTGCTATGAAGGTAATTTTAGACCCCAAAATGTGTGAAATTTAGCCAATACAATTATACCAATTTAGCTCCACTTTCAAAAAATATGGTGACCGTTAATTAATTAATTAATTAGAAATAACAATACATAGGCCGGCTGGTTGTGCGTGATATAACCAACACGAAAATGCCCATTACGAAAAGCTCGTTAAAACTATACCCCACCACTATAGCACAGCAGTCAATGTAATCTGGTGGGGTAGCACTACCCCAGATTCGTTTCTCTCGTTAAAACTTTGTAATCTGGTGGGGTAGCAATACCCCAGTTTCGTTTCTCTCGTTAAAACTTTGAGAGAGCTACTACTATTACACAGGCACCAATGGGAATCTGATGGGGTCTCACTACCCCACTTTCAATTCTCTCGTTAAAAACTTGGACAGAGCCTTGAGGCTTTGAGTGAGAGATTAAGATATTGGATTGCAGCTGGACTCTACATCATCTTACGTAATACTAGTGTAGACAAACTCTTACTGGGGTCTGCCTGAAAGGAAATGAGAAGTAGGAAATAAGTATTTTACTTGTTTTAAGATATTTTCATGTCCTAAAGTCACTAATAATTTGGATGAAGACCAAAATGAAAGTTCGAACGAAGCAAAATGACCCATAATTGGCGATATAACAACAATTTTAACTCTGGCAGCGAACCCCTGCATGTGTCTCTTTCTCCCTTCTCCCTTCCTTTCCCCTTGTATCATGCTTATCTCTCTCTCGCTATCACCTCATCAAGGTCTCGGTGGGGGTGGACTACAGCGCTAGTGTTTACTTAGGGCTTATCACAATCTCAGCTCTAGTACAAGTAGAAATGGTGAAAGTCAAATGGGGGTTTCAATTTTAAACGACGAGTTTTCGTCATGAACACAAAACAACATCAACATTGGCTGAAATACGACGTAAAAGGCGCTATTTCGTTTTTTCAACGGTTTCTTTTCTCAAATTAACTTATATTTGTGGTGGTACACAAGTATTATTGATTGTTATATTTATGGATATTTCAGCCGTCTCTGAACCGATTTTGATCAAACAAAGATGGTTTGTCATTTAAATTGTATGTTCTTTCAAATGTGACACTCAGTTTTTCATTGTCTCACGAAAAAAAAAATCTTTTTTGTAACGCCCTCTGCAACAGAATTCAACCTTCCCTTTAAAAGTTTTACAAATATAATTTTTTTCTCCACTGTCATTGACTTAATTAAAAATACCAGATTTAACTTGATTTTTCCTTTTATCCGCCACATGACGATCAATTGCTTAAACGCAAAATTATTTTTCTCATCGCTTTTATCCCAATCATTGTCTTCGGAACTCACTTTGCACAGATATCGACAATTGTTCTTCTGATCCGTGTGAGAATGAAGGAGTTTGTACTGATGGATTAAACACCTATACTTGTGCCTGCGTTCTTGGCTATACTGGGACTAGGTGTGAAACAGGTGAGCTATTAAAGTCAAAGCAGATTACTTACCTGCATACATACATTTTTCGTGTAATGCAAAAGCTCCTTGCACATCAAATAACATTTTCCTCTTAGTTTGATTTCTATCTTAATATTTATCCTGTGATTAAACAAAAATTGTCACTTGATGAAAGAGCTAATGGATTGGCTTTTAAGCTTCGCAGATCATCCCTACTATCATTTTTTGGAAAAGTCTTTGTAAAAAGTGGCTTTCATTCAGTGTCTTTGTCAATACAATTTCAAAAGTTCCATCGCAGATATTGACAAATGTGATTAAAAACCCTGCTTGAATGGTGGGACATGTAAAGATCATGCTAGTTGTTATACCTGTTACTGTGCTAGTAATTATAGTGGATTGACCTGCTCAACAGGAAACTGAAGTGTGTCTCAATTCTCTGAAGACTACCAATAACATTCGTCAGAAAATCTTCATGTCAAGATCATCATTATAACCCCCTCCCCCAGCCCCCCCCCCCCCACACCTCCAAAAGAAAATCCATACAGAATTGGAAAAGTCAGCCTAATTCATTATTTGACAATCTTAGAGCTACAGACCAGTTTTGGAAACGCCCACTCTAAAAACAAAAACAAATGGAAGCTGTTATTACCAATCTTGTGAAAGATTATGTTTTGACTACAAATCAAATACGGGATGATACTAATTGTTGTTATAATTCAATATTGTTTTATTTTTTATATAATTGATAATAAATATTCTATTCTTAAAATAGTGTTATTTTCAAAAAGATATATATTTAAATTGATATTTCACATTCATGTACAATAATGATGGTAATATTATATTCCCTTTTTATACTGTTATTTTATTAGACAGGGCTTTCTTGAAAAGCAGGTCCACTGGCCTTCAGTGGAATATAAATTACCCTGGTGAAAGAAATCATGAATAAATAAATAAACAAATAAATAAATAAGGTATTAATATATGAATCCTAAGTTACGCAACCAAGACCTCACTGATTTAGAGACGTATTGAATTTGTGGCCACATGTCATGTTTGAGTAAAACAAAAACGAGGTTAAGGGAGGCAAGATGTACGGCAATAATATGGCCAGCAATGGAAATGGAAGTTATAGAAACATAATTTGAAAACAAATCTTGGAAGTCCTTTTTTGAACTATTGCCTTTCGTAATTTGAACGTTATCTGAACAAGCACTCTAGAAAAAGAAAAAAATTGAGTTATGAACGATCAAAATGTCATTTTTCTCCAACGTTCATGAAATCATCCGTAAGATCGCCTTGGCTACCACAATATCTTGTCTATAAACCAATTTTGATTCATTTTAACTTGAGAGTTACTGCCCAGTGTATTTACTGTACAAAACAGAAATCTTAACAAGAGTAATGTTTGCGAGTTCTCAAATTTCCGATCACCTATTTCATGACCAACGTCAGGAACGTGTTACCTGCGTATTATAGGAATGTTTGACATAAGAAATCAAACAACATAATTACATTAATGCAAAATACAAAAGAGAGCAACTGGAAATATTTGCAAAAGTAAAGAAGAGTTCTCATGGTGATAGGAGTGTAGAATAAACCACAATTAAAAGAACAACAGACATGACCAAGGTATGTGCAAATAGGGGTGGGGTGCATTCTGAATGTAAAGACGATAACAATGAAGGGTGTTATAGAAAAGAGGGTTACAAAAGTTAAGGTAATTAGACAGTGAAGAACGTCCAAGGCGAAGTGGTCATGGTCCTAACGATGAAACAAAGTTATCGAAATATCTGAGAACTCGCAAACATGACTATTTTAAGGGTTTTCTGTTTGGTACTGTTTGTACGTACCACCTCTGGTAACACTGGATACCGACCAGTGTATTGTACAATTAAAATGTATTATATATTAATTTTTGCAGATTGTAACGAATCTGGGGGTTGTCAAAGAGGTTTGTTTTTTTCAAACCTAAGTTAAACAAGGGATAGTAATTGTCCGACCTTTTTAAATGACGCGATTTACCCGTGATTTTACACTTAATATGGCCCATAAATAATCTCTCTGTGTCGCGTAAGATTTATCGTGGGATACATGTACCACAGGCTTCCATATTTAGTTAACCGTTTAATAGTACAACTATTCTATCTATCTATCCCATTATCTATCTGAATGTATATGATTGTGTCCCAAAGCTTGGAGGCTGTTGGGGCGACAAATAAATAAAAAGAAAATGGACCTTGAGACACAGGTTCTCCATAATTGTCTGTCTTCAGCTGTTCTAGTTAGCTGCTGAAGTGACATTCCCGTCCTTTGCCTGATGTTACCAGTTCATACAGGTTATCATGTAGTTAATCAAGACCAGAAGTGGCTATTCCGGCAAAGCCATTGTGTTGCAGAAAGCAATCCTTCCGTCCGTTGGTGCATATAGATTTGTGTACATATGCTCGTGTGACGAACGAGCGATCATGCCAATTAGCGCTGATGGCAAATTAAAGATTGAAGTGGTGTTCACCTTACACGCTAAGTGGGTATATCAGTATTATTTCCGTACAGATTTGGAAGTCGGGTGGGAAGTTGTTGTTGTCTTGTTGTTCTTAACAAAATCCACATTCACCGTCTATCGGTAGGCTTAAAATAATACATTGTGTGGTTGTATGACCCTTGCCCCTGTCACAACTTTACCAATTTGGTCATCAGTTTGTGACGTCATGTCCTCACTATTTATCAATTGCTTTATGTAGTTTAATCCCATTAATTTCCCTTGTTATCCCCCAAAACTTGATTTCCCCATGCCTTTGACCAGGTTATATGATTTGTATCATATTGCGTGCATGACATTTCACAAAATCTTTTATGAACTTTGAAGAATTGATACTATTTTTCTGAATATTGATTATTCATAATTATTGAATTTTCATACATTGTTTATCAAATTTCACATTTTTCATGATTTAACTAAAACAAAAATTACTCTATATTAGTGCATCCACAAAAAAACATATTACTATCAATCTAACTTGGATGCTGGTGTGAAGAAATAAGTTTCTGAGGGGGAAAATAGGAAATTTATGTTATCAATATAAAGAAAAGAATTAGTGGATAGTGAGGACATGACGTCACAGACTGATGAGTGAGTTGCCAATTTGTCTAGTGATTTTCAAAGTTTTTCATATTATTAAAAATTCATAACTTCTTTTATTAGTTATCCGATTTTGCTCAAACTTTTTTGATTGGTTTTCTGATTTTTCTGTTTCTATAGAAAGTAAATTATTTTTGGAGTGGACTTGCCCTTTAACTAAATTTAGGAGACGAAGTTGCATTTGTCTTGTTTTATCCATGTACAAAGTGGCTTTAATCGAGTGTCTTTTTCAATACAAACTTAAATGTTTCATTGCAGATATTAACGAATGTGATTCTAATCCTTGTTCGAATGGTGGAACATGTATAGATGGTGTCAGCTCTTATACATGTAATTGTGCTCCTGATTGGACTGGAACGAGCTGTGGTAACTAAATTGTGTCTTAATTCTCTGCAGACTACCAAATAAGATTTGTCAGAAATTCTTCTTTAAAAATAAGTTTGTCCCTTTTTCGTGTTTAACTTTGTCTCAAAAGTTATATTTGTTTCTGGATACGTGTTTTATATTACATCTGCTGAAAATGAAATTTCGACCACATACTGTAAGTGCGTCGTGACGTTATTTTGGCGCCATTTTGTATATTTGTTCGAAAGAGTTTCTTTAATGTGCTTCAGTTAATTTCCTTTAGTTTCATTTTGATCTTAATATCTTTTACTGTGAAGACGCAATTAATTCATCTAATGAAAGTGCGTATCAATTATCGATATCGCCAATACCCCCAAAATGCCCGAGGCCTCGTTGCATAAAACTTACCATTGATGGTAACTTTGCCATCGATGGCAACTACCGTGGTAACAGGGCTCAACAGCCAATTAAAATCAAAGTGTCCATGGTAGTTACCATTGATGGCAAAGTTACCATCAATAGTAAGTTTTATGCAATGGGGCCCTGATGTGCGACTCTTGGATGTAATTTCGAGCAACTTCCTGGGCTTTCATACTAAATGGTGCATGCATGCGGCGTGCGCGCAGTATACGTATTAATGCACAATATACATATCCAAAAGCTATATCGAGATTCCACTCTTGTCGGCTGCTACTGAGTTCCTTGCATTTTTTACAAGTAAATGATTGTTCGAGAAGAAATACTTAGAGAATCCACTGCCTGCTCATCATTTTGTAATTATTATATGTCAAAATGTTTACAAACCGACTTTGATTCATGTTAACTTGAAAGTTACTGACAAGTGTAAATGGTGATACAACTGTAAAGTACGAAACAGAAATCGTAATAACAGTCATGTTTGCGAGGTCTCAAATTTTCGATCACCTTATTTCATGGGCAGTGTCATAAGAGCTTAAGAACTTAAACACATGACAACATTAATATATATACAACAAAAGAAAAGTGACTGAGAGTATTTGCCAAAATATTGAAAAGTAAAGAAGAGTGATCATTGTGATAGGAGTGTAGAATGAACCACAAGTAAACAGAGAACAAAAGATAAAAATGAAGGGTGTAATAGAAAAGGTTTTCACAGAAGTTCAGGTAATTAGACAGTGCAGAATGTCCTAGGTGTAATGGTCATGGTCCTAACGATGCTCATGAAACAAAGGGATCAAACAATCTGAGAACTCGCAAAAACGACCCTCAACAGGGTTTCTGTTTATTACTGTATGTGCGCACTTGTCGCAATACTGAATACTGATTAGTGTATAACATATTTTATATATTATTTTGCAGAGTGTGAACTCAACGGCAGCGTTTGTCCGAAAACAGGTATGTTCCTCTCTAACATAAGTTAAACCGCGAAAAGTCTGCTGAAGTGACACTCCCGTCCTTTGCCTCATGTTATCAGTCCATATAACTGTGTTTAAAAGGTTATCATGGAGCTAATCAAGACCAGATTTGGCTATCCCTGCAAGGCCATTGTGTTGCAGAAAGCAATTCTTTCCTCAATTGGTGCATATTGATTTGTGCCTACATGTTTATGCAATTGTGGCGAACGAGCGATCATACCAATTAGCGCTGATGGCAAATTAGGGATTCGAGTGGTGTACGCTTTGTACGCTGAGGGACGGCTTTGGGTATATATTATCATTATTATTGCTGTACATATTTGGGAGTCAGGTAGGAAGGAGAGAACCCCTATCACTTTTTTCTTCCATTTTTACTAATTGAATCCACTTTCACCGTCTATCGGTAGGCCTGAAATATAACATTGTGTGGTTATACGACACTTAGCCCTGCGAAAATAAACGTATTAATTTGGAGGTGCTTGCATTAAATTTTTACACTTATCTCGATTAAATTCATTTATAATCAAACAGAGGTTTGCAATCAGTCGCAAAATGGTAATGGCCAATCATGATCATTATTGCATGCACATTGTGTTCAAAAGGTTGACCATTAACCAATCCAAATCTTGGTTTCAAATGTGTAATTGACCTCAAAGCGTTGTGTTACGTGGGCCTGTTTATGTTTTTTCGTTATAAATAATATAGCTACGTTTGTGGGCAATGTCACTGAGGACTCCAGTACTGCCACTAGTGGTCGAAGGAAACGTGCAGCTGTTCCCACTGGGTCACCAGAGGTACGGATTCTGCTGGATTCAGTAAGTGTTACCTTGGTCATTTCTTAAAATTGTCATTCGGCCATTTGGGAAACTCTCTATGCAAGTGTATCTAATAAAATAAGTCGTGTACATCTAGAATGTATAAAGTCAACCTTTATCCGGCATTCTATGGACCAAGAAGAAATTACAGAATAGCATCAAACCAAGTCCACGGAACCCAAGCCGGACTCGGGTTTCGTGTAGGTCCTACTCCATGAGAGTGTGTATAGGTGTGTTGAGTAGTGTACTCACAAGTTGTTTTTAATTTGATATGAAAGCGTATTTAAAAATCTCGTAAGTAATATTGAAGCTTATATTTTGAATGTAGTTTAGCCACATGTAACCCCTAACAAACAGAACAAAAAGTACGTTTGGGTGATTGGTACACTTTATAATGTTTACTGTTTTATTATTCTAAAAGGGTGCGTTGCATTCTTTAAGTAAACAGAATATTCTTAAGTGCGTCGATACAAATTATTTCATTCACCTGTTACGAATAATTTCAATAGTCAGAAAGCAAATTGCATATCTTACGTGTTGTTATATGTATGAAAAGCCATGTTTGTCCTACTTAGCAACGACTTATGTGTGCGATTTGAATTCTGACTATTAAGATACATTTATTCGTAACAGTTGAATGAAATAACTGGTATTGAGGCGCTTCAAAAAGGCATATGCATAAATATGGTTACATAACGAATATTGCCTATTATCTGTTGATGATACCTGAATTGGCTTCTGTTTGCTATTGCGCAAAAAATAATGCTGTGAAAAATATATTTTTTACAAGTTTTGTCATGTTTGTATTGCTGTGTAAAATTGAATAACTGCATCATCAAATCAATATTCGTCTCTATCTCTTTAGATCGTGAGTACTATCGACAGTCTTCCAGAAGTAATAAGTGTAAATGGAATAGCCATTTCGGCGAATGATGACGTCATAGATCTCCTCACAGCAATGGTCAGAATGGACGTGACCTTTAAGAATAACATCACTATTCAACAGTTGTTCTTACTCGTGATAGCCTCTATCAACAACATCCCTGGAGTCGACGTTCAAAGTGAGTAATGCAGCAATACTACATTCGCCGCTCTTTACCCTGGTGTTAAATGGGTCCGATAGGAAGGAGTTCATTGACTGCTGTTGGCAATGGAATATGTAGCCTGGCTGCGAGTTTTATTTCTGTCAGGACTTGCGCCACCGACGAGACAGGGCAGTATTCACGCTATAACTTGTGGCTATAAAACATGAATTATTCATAAATTTTGGCTGCTTACAGCGTGTGACGTAACAATGACATAACCTTAAGGGTTAGGATTAGGGATATAATAATCATGCAAACCCATCGTACATCAACCCATCGTTGGCTTGATCGGTAAGGTCAGCGAATGAAAATCTTAGGGGTGTGGGTTCGAACCCCAATAATATTTCTGTCCTATTTCTGGACGTTATAAATAGTGAGGCAAAGCAATAAATATTAAAAGTCTACTTGCTTGTGACCTCTTTCCAAGCTGCTAAGAACGTAAAAATATATCAGCCAATCAGAAGACCGAAAATACAAACCTGTTCATGAGTGGGTGATGGTGAATACTGCCCTCTCGCGTCGGTGGCGCAAGTCCTGGCAGAAACAAAATATCGCAGCCGGGGTGATATAAAAGCGCCTTGAGCGGGCCTGATCCCCTTGGTTGGTGGGTATATGCGCTTTAACAAATACCAATTTTGTTTTTTCTTCTCTCTCGTCTTCTTCTCCTCCATCTTCTTCTTATCTTCTTCTTTTTCATTATTAACTCACCTGAGTCAAGGCTCAAGTAAGCTACTGTGGTCGGTTTTTGTCCCGCCCGTCGTCCGTAAACTTTTCACATTTTCAATTTTGTCTCAAAAACCCAAGGGGGCTTTGGAACGGCCTTCAATTTCCACTATCCAAACAGAAATGTGAGAAAGGCAAACTTAAAATATACACGTGCACGTGCGAATTTTTAAAGCTGAAAATTGAAATATAATTTTAAAAAATTGTTCCATTTGAATCAAGGTTATCTCTTCAAAGGTTATATAGCCGCATTCTATATTTCATGTTCTGATATGTCATTAAGTGACAAGAAATGATTTCAGACCAAAACGTTGGTATGGATTCTGGCTTAGCATGTTAGGAATCATTTCCATGTGAAGAAGACCTAAAATTGTTTGAATGGGATGCCTGCCCCAGCAAGGGACTTGGGAGCAGCAACCTTAAGTTACCGTGCTGTTTCAATATATTCTATGTTCCTGATGCAAAGGGGATGGGAGCTAGGTCCCTTATTGCGAGGTCCCTATTTTCATCCGCTCATGTGAACGTAAGGCCTGTGGACCTCTTGTTATTATTGCTATTATTGTTATTATTTTTTATTATTGTACTATTGTATTATTATCATTATTATTATCATTATTATTATTATTACCATTATTATTATCATTATAATTGTTATTATTATCATTATTAGCATTACTATTAAACATCATCATCATCATCATAATTATTATTATTATTTTTATTACTAGCTTAACTAATATCATCATCATCATCATAATCATTATTATTATTATCTTCATTATCATCATTATCATTATCGTTATTATGATTATTATTGTTATAATTATAATTATCAAGGTTATTAGCGTTATCATCATCATCATTCTGGATGTAGCTCTTCACAGGATTAATGCCTGACCAAAGGGCACTAGCACATCGACTTGGTTTCGAACCCGGGTCTTCCGGCTACGAGACCACTGCTCTACCACTGAGCTATCGCATATCCTATTGCTCTAACAAGTACAGTGTATACGTTGCTAACATTTCATGACGGGAGGCAAACGTTTTAAATCATTTCCATCCGCAGGTTTTGAGCTGCAGACTGATCCATGTTCATTGGACAATCCTTGTAGAAATGGTGCTACATGTGAAAGGGTCGAGCCCGGCTCTGCGAATGTCACCTGCATGTGAGTTTCTCCTGTTTTTATGTTCTGTAAATATGCCCTCATTTTCTGTATTTCAGCAGGACAGGGGGCTTTGCGTGAGTCTATCCATACAGGCCCGAATTCACAAAGGAGGTTTGTCGACATCATTTGACGCGTTTTGACGCGTATTTTACAAACCTGGTTTGTAAAAAACAAAAGGAGGTTTGTCGAAACAAAAGGAGTTTTGTCGACAAACCTCCTTTGTGAATTCGGGCCTTAGGGTTTGTGGAACAGGGAGAGTGACGGGGCGGAGCACGGTCATACTTGGAAAATTAAATGTGAATTTTCAAGTCTATTTGATGGGTAAGAGTGCGGGAAATGGTCCAGGGATCTTTTTTGCTCGTCATTTCCGTCACCACCCCCCTCCCATAACGTGCCCCAACATCCACTGTTACAGTAGTTGGGCCAATGCAGCGGGAAAGCATGTTTAACAGACGATTTACATTCTTTGATAATATAATTTTACCCTCATCCCTAAATTTATGAAGGATATCCCCGGAACAGGTTGCATGCAGTATTACAATACAATACAATACAAGTTGCCAGACAGACATGCTGTAGCATCACCAGGAAGACAAAGGCAATGATGATGTCTTGTACATATGTATGCAAGCATGCAATTCTACTATGAAAGTGTGTTAAGCTGGGGGAAATTACATACCATTGTCTATTCTAGAATATTAGTTTAGTCTGACATAGCAACTTATATGTTGCTATTGTTTATGGTATTGTAACAGGTGGTCAACTTTGGCAAAGTTACATGACACTTTCTCAAGTTAGCTCATTGATGACTGATAGATGATGTCACAAGGGGGATGAGATCTAGAGGTTTTTAGGGTGGAGCTTAGAAAGTTTGAAAACAAACATTTCAAAAATATTTAAAAATCTATGAAACAAATTCAAAATGTTACATATCAAAATATGAGATGTATGCAGGACTGCACACCAACAGGAATACACTTGTATTTCGATGTCATGGGCCCTTTAAGAAGTCCGCGTAAGACAATAAGTTACTAAAGGTGTGGTCTGAACATTTATGCTTGGTCCCATCTACCAGGTTTCGTGTACAGTGTATGTGAAGCTCAACTAGACTGACTCGATATTTATACTGGTCATTCCAAAACCTCACAATATACACCAGCTCTTATGTGCTACATACTCAAACTTTTCTTATTCATATTGATATTACATAACCGATACAATACTCACCTTTGTCTTAAAAATTAGTCCTCTAAGTGACGATGGCGGTCCAACAGCACTTAGCATCGCCCTGCCCATCGTGGCCGTCCTGGTCATTTTCATCCTTCTTACCATGGGTTACCTTGTACGTCTCTACCGTGGCCGGAGGTGGCAAATGGAGACGTTGTACGGTGTATCGCATGGAATGACGGGTAACTTCAAGAAGGACACCAGTCGGAATAGACGTTCCAACCCGTCACCATACCGGCAGACAGAACACTTTGTTAACGTAAGTCCTCAATATCACTTTCAAAATTTTACCAAGAAAGGGGAGGGGAAGGCGCAATATCCCCCCAAAATGCTGAAAAGCAGGGGGGAAAGGGTCACCAGGATTTGTATGTGCCTTTATACTTTTACAAATTCAAGCAAGCAAAGAGAAATGCATGTACCCCCCAAAAACATGAAAAAATATGAAGAAACAAAATTGAATTACCTAAAACAAATAAAAAAAACGATGGGGAGGGGGGCTGGGCATACTTTGTGACTCGTTTATGTCACGTTTATTCCGAAGGGGGTGGGGCATTTGCATGACGTCCCAGATTTGTGCTACGATAAAAACGTTAGTTCTGTCAATCGAACTTGGGCACTGCTTCCTCCAGTTCTCCTCCTGGGGCCCGTCTTCTAAAGAGCTGATATCACTCTCCACTATGTACATACGAGAAAGGAAACTGCAAACTTGCTATTGATAGGAAGACTTGCGATTGATTTTGATCAATCGTAACTCTTTATAAGACGGGGCCCTATACCACCAAGCCGATATAATCATTGAGGGAGACTCATTAGCATAAGTCGTTGAGGTCTGACCTAGAGCAACGATATCCTCTTCATTTTCCTCCTAAACAATTTGTTTGCTTGTAATACAATCAGTGGCGTCTTTACGGCTAACAGGGGGCCTGTTTCGTTAGTGGCATTTGAAGGGGCTGCAAAAACCGCAAAAGAGGGGGCACACAAGATGCAAAAGAAAAGAGAGAGGGGAGGAAAGGGAAGAAGAAAAAAACATAAAATTAATTTCTCGAAGATAGTTGATATGGTATTTCGGCAAAATATCCCTTGTGTTATACCACGCATTGACAAAAGTTCTTTGACGTTCACTGTTTGAGTAGTTGATACGATTGTAAGCACTATGAACATGACTGACAAAGAAAGCGGACAAAATATACAGTTCCTCAGATAGACAAAGGAACATCCCTTCACTGCTATTATGTAAAAATGTGTAGAACAGGTATCACATGCATATTCACCTTTTTACATAATAGCAGTGAAGGGATGATCCTTTGTCTACCTAAGGAACTGTATATTTTGTCCGCTTTCTTTGTCGTCATGTTCATAGTGAAGGCTCGTTCAGAAAAGACGTGGTAACGACCCCAAAACACGCCTGTTGTGTACGTGTAAATGCAAGGCAAATGCGCACAACAAAGGTACAACGTGTATTCACTGAATTCCGTGTTAAAAGATCCAGGAATGTGAAGCATATACGTCATCACTAGGCCTCTTTACATGTCAACGAAAACATTTTGAAAAATCAAGTTTTTTACTAACATTTACATTCCTGGAAATACCCTCAAAAACCCGTGGAAGTTTGCTCATACCGATTTGTTGTGAGTAGTGTCGTACGCCACTCCTCAGTGCCCTGCATGCGTTAGCACGGAAGCAACACAACGATGAAACTTCGGCAGGCGTATCATGAAACTACAATCGAGAGGAGGATTTTTCGATTTCGATCTTTCGTCGTCTTTGCAAGTGGTATCTTTGCCGGAATGTGAACAAATTGGCGATTTCTGTTTCTAATGTATATGCAGCTATTAAATAGATCGGCCGTGGTTTTGCCGCTTTATATCTTAATGAGGCTTCGTAACTTATGCTATTCTTTTTATCGAACCTATCAGGAAAGCACTCCGGGAGCGAGACGAAAGCGGAGCAGAAGTATCGGCCACCTGTCTTCGGGACACATCAACCCTCCATTCGTGCACAAATACAAGGATGGGCTAGAGATGGGCTGGAGCTCGAATACTGGTGATGTGTTTCGTGATGATAGCGAAGCTCAGGGCTTGTCTTCTCGGCAGACGGTAGACGACAATGGATTTTCATATAGATATCGAACAGCCAGTGGTTACTGGACAGAGGCGTCCTACTCAAACGGCGCCCCCACAAGGAATGGCCAGAATAAATTCCACCATGGATCCTTGGACACGTACTTTTAAACGAGTCCGTGAAAACCAGACAGAGATTTGTTATGAGGTTGAGAGGGGTGACCTATTCATGCATCCAGTAGCTTATTTGGTATGGAATTGAGCTAGCATAGTCCCTCCCCCCCCCCCCCCCACCCTGTTTAGATTCCTTGACACACAAAGGAATACTTCTTCTCGCCGTCCGCCCTATGTATTCCTCATGTTGGGTTTCCATTCTATTCCACATTTCTCTCTGGTTGGGATTCCTCACCATTGCTGGATACGCCATTGTATTTATCTATTTGTATGCTGTCACTTCGCTCTGTGTGACTTTTGCTATGGTTTCTTTTACTTGTCTTTCGTAGATTACTGTTAACGGCATAAATATTAGCTTTAAAATCAACCTTGCAAACCTTTTGTATGTTGAATTACTGTAAGTTGTGTTTGCTATAAATACAGGGTGTCCAAAAAGCAAATGCAACAAGATTTTGATTGGTAACATGTGGCTTTGTGCAAACACTGATACGCATTCCTGCTTGTACACTAGATAATAGCCGGGATTAACGCCCGTGGTTCGATTTGTTACATCAAGGGATACAGCTGATTCGAGATTAGTGTTACAATTAATTATTATTTACGATAACATGATATCAAGAATTTTGTGATATATTTTAAGAAAAAAATAGTAACCTAAACGTGTATATCGTGCCGCCTTCTACTTTCTCTTCTATCATACTTCAAAGTTTGTATTCCTATATTATTATAAATGTATGATCGTACATTACATGCCTCTTAGTGACAGTACTTGAGATGTACGTAAACTGCCATATATTGCTCACAATGTTATGTGCCGACCGCCGTGTCCCATATTGCATCACCAACTTCATGACGCGCGCATGATGACGCTTGGGTTCAGAAACCGGAAATCGCTTCTATAATATGTACACCTTAAAAGAAGAGTGGCACATTTGAAAGTACACTACAGCAGTGGTAGCGATGTTGGTAAAACACGTTGCTTTTATTTAAAAAGAGATCTTGTATTTCTACTTGTCTCAAATTAAATGGAGGCATATTTTAGCAAAATATTGCTTTATTTTAAGAACGCTACCCTGAAATCCAATGTGTTGCATATAACCGGCCGCTCGAAATGACTTCAAACAAAATCAACCATTTAAGCACCTTCTCGGAAGTGTGTGAACATTACAAGGACGTATTGCCTAATCTGAAAATAATGTACGTGTATGTAGGCAATACTTCCACTGTGTTTTGAAAATTGATATCTAGAAAGTATTGGTGATTCTTATATTTTGTTGTTGTCGTTAGTAGAGTTATTATTGTTATTATTTTCATTGTTGATGTTATTCATATCATTTTGATAATTATTGTTATCACCATATATTAATATGCTGCTTTATTTTGCAGCTGAACTATACTATATACTTTTGGAAAATAATTTACATTTTATAACAGTACTATTTCAAATATGCATGATATATGTTTTTTTATCAAATCAATGCATTTAAGCAGAATCCTATATTTGATTGGATTGGTTGAAATGGGGCTTGTACTTTGTTGCTATATATTCAGATATCAAAATATCTAAGATTCGACTTATGTTATTTTCAACATTTCAATTAGTTATGAACTTAAATGATAGAATTTAAAAAATGATTATTAAGAATTACTATTCATTCATGATAAAAATTCCTATCCTTCGGGACCGATCGCAAAGACTTCAACGAAATCATCCTAAGAAAATTTCAATAGCTTTTTGCCTCACTTTTTGAAATGTGCGAAGATTGCAATGACATTATATATACATTCGTTACAGTCCTGCTTTTTTCATGCATGATTTATATTACAAGACAGTTGATATCGTGTAGTCCATGTGTATACATGTATTTAGAATGTAATTATGTTGTAGTTCTTTCATGTACAAAAGAAAAGAGGGGGAACATAAGGGCCATATTGAAACACAGATGTTGAATAAAGATATATTTATTGTATTTACAACACTGCTTTTGAATGAATTATGATTTTAGTATATATCAATAACAATCAGAAAGTAATTAGATGTAGTCACGATTACCATATTATCGTATAATCATGTTCATCTGGTCATGATTGTTATGTTTAATCATGATTATTAGGTAATTATGATCATCGTGCAACTAGTTATCCTCCTCGCTATCATGTAATTCTCCTGGCTATCATGTAATTATGATTATCATTTTATAGTGAAATAATAATAATCTTGTAATTGTTTACCATGATTACATGCGATCGTCCAATCATAATTTTTGTGTGATCATTAGTATCATACTGATAATATGTCCATTTACATAGCACGGCTACGATACAAATATACTTACAAAGCATCATGGTATTACCCCGGATGCACGCCCGTAACTTAGATTTTAGTGGGGATGCAGAAATTATATGAGGTGGACCATTTTGAGGCCGCAAAGTGTCCGAGCGACGGAAGGCTCTAGAAGGAGGTCTGGGGGGGGGGGATCCGAAGGGGTCTTGGGAGGGTGTTCCCCCTTCCCGGGGTAGGTAGAATTATGGCATATTTATGTCTGAAAATCAAGTTTTAGGTAAATTTGTTAACATCAAAATTGTTTCTCTAATAACTGTGTCCTACCTTTGTTGTTTGTACCTTTTTCTTACCTATATCATACTGAGCATCCTCCCCCTTGGATTGCTCTTCTAAAATATGTCTACTACCTCATCCAGGTTGATGACCTTGTCATGATGAATATGCATGAGCAGTGGCGTAGCTTGCCCTCATACATTCTTCGTCTTCCAGATCGTCGTTTTCAACTTTTTTTTTTTTTTTAGACACTCCATATTTTTGGAGTTAGAAAGTTTCCCGTCATGATTAATGTTATCACCGTATATTAATTTTCGGCTTAATATTGCAGCTGAAACTATACTCTATACATTTGAAAAATATTTTTACATTTTATTACTGTACTATTTCGAATATGCATGTTATATGTTTTTTATCACATTTAAGCAGGTACGTGTTATGGTAGGGATTAGTTGAAATGGGACTTGTACTTTGTTGCTATATATTCAGATATCGAAACAACTAAGATTCGAATGGACGTATTTTCAATATTTCAATCGAATATGCATGATATATGTCTTGTTATCAAATAAATGCATTTAAGCAGGTTTCTATACGTATTATGCTTGGGATTGGTTAAAATGGGGTTCGTACTTTGTTGCTATAATATTCAGATATCGAAATAACTTAAAGATTCGAATGGAAGTATTTCAATATTTCAATCAGTCATGAACTTAAATGATAGAATAACAAAACTATTATTGATAATTACTATTCATTCAAGATTTTAAAAAAAATATTCCTATCCTTCGGAACCGATCGCAAAGACTTCAACAACACTTCAAAGACAACACTGCTTTTGAATGAATATGTAATTACATGTAGTCACGACTACCATGTAATCGTATAATAATGTTCATCTGGTCATGATTACCATGTTTAATCATGATTATTAGGTAATCATGAGCATCGTGCAACCGTGTAATCCTCCGGCTATCATGTAATTATAAATATCATTTTATAGTGAAATAATGATTATCTTGTAATTGTGTACCATGATTACATGCGATCGTACAATCATAATCATTGTGTGATCATTAGTATCATACTGATAATATGTCCATTTACATAGCACGGCTACGATACAAATATACTTAACAAAGTTTCATGCTATTACCCCGGATTCAGGCCCGTAACTAAGATTTTAGTGGGGATGCAGAGATTATATGAGGTGGACCATTTTGAGAGCGCAAAGTGCCCGAGCGAAGGAAGGCTCTAGAAGGAGGTCTGATAAAGTAAGTGTTAGGCGCTATATAAGCAAATATAATTAATTATTTGTTCATTGTGAAAATAAAACTTCATATCTGAAATAGTATACCTTATCAAAACACCCCATGTGATATATATTTGATAATCTTGCGGCTACCTATACTTTGTTTCCATGAATTCGACGTTATTGCAAACTATATAACTCGCGGCAAAAAAATATTATCGCGGCACCTCAGTTGATAAACGCTCTACAAGATGGAGGGGATATATCCGTTGCCCCTTTAGAGCGGGAAGGTTTTACATTCTAAAGTTAAACGGACACACACACATACTCTCTCTGTCTCTTTTCCGGAATGGCCTCTATATTTTACTCCCATCTTAAAAGTGGACGATCAACCTTTATATATATATCTATTTTTTTGTATTTTAATTGCTTGTAAAAAAAAAAGTTAATTTCATTGAAGTGTCCACATTTTCTTCCACTGATGAATTTATTTTTTCCTCACTGAAAATTGGGATAAATAATTTTACACCTGTTACCCGCCCCCCTCAAAGGAGAGTGGATAGACAAATACCCCTCCCCACCCCCCTGATTTACGCCCGTAGTTCTCAACATAAGTGAACCCCATTTGGGTTCTATGCTTAGGTATTTTATTTGGGGAAAACCCCAAAGTGTATTACTGTGAAGCCAATATACAGGCAAGCGCTCCGAATCAATGAGCATTGCCGAATTTCTATTCATGAAACTTCCAGAAATACCAGCCTTTTCGTTTTCAATTGATATGCGTGGGCATATGAATATGAATGATCAACCTATGAGTAGAATATCTTCCATTGACAAGCACAATTTTGGATTTCTCATTAGCTTACCACGAACATTAGACAGAACGGGAACAGCATCAACACTGTCAATGAGACAGGCATGTAGAATCAGCGTGGCCAGTGAAATAAATACAATCATGCTAGGGGAGCAGCGAAAATTATGCTAAATCGCCAAAAATTATGGCAAAACCCCCCAGACATCGAATTGTTCAGGAAATATTTTGCGCCGACTAAGCCATCCGCTGAATCGAAGCGGGGGGGGGGGGGAGGGGGGGGGGGGGTAAGAAGCAATTTGTTTGAAAGATTTACCATCATACCTACATGTACTTGAAAAACGTATTAAAAATGCTTTTAAAAAAGCTCAAATTATGCCAGAATTTCGCTAAAAACAGCCAAATTATACCAGGCATAATGCAAGATGCTAAAAGGGTCAACATTATGCCAGAAAGCATACTTATACTAAATCTGGCAACATTGTGTAGAAT